AACACAACACACTCAGGTTGCTGTGTTCAGTTGGCCATTTGCCGAGTAAAGAGTACAGTACGGTCATAAACATGAAGGCCAGACTAATGAATCAGAGGGGGTCTTGTAAGAAATGTGAATCTTTTGAGTTTGTCTAACCTGCATTTTGCATTGTTCCCAGATTCTTATCAAACTTGATATTGTACTGTCAAACCCACTGCACATATAAAAATGCTTTGCAGCCACTTTCAGCCATCTTTCAGCCAAGAGCAAGAAGAGAGAGACACTGTGTGTTCAGTGTCATTGTGTCTGTGTTGTTGCACGCCTGCCAAGAGGTCGCAACATAATGCGCACTGAAAAACTCTGCCTTTGTAGTGCTCCGCCAGAACAGGGTTTCAATTAATTTCATTAACAATTCTGCACAAACATAGGAGCAGATGACTCAAATGTCACAGTTTGGCAAATCGTTTCTCCCACCATACAACCTGCTCTCCATTGATGCGTTCAAAGTGAAAAAGGGCCTCTAAGATAGATAGATGTGTATGTGTGTACATGCATAGAGAATGGTTTGTTGTTTCTATTCTTGTCACATGTCGAAAAGTATCTCCCACATGATATATTTCTTCCTGATTTAATTGTATGGCTTGGGTGACCACAGTTCGTGTGCATGCAGGTGTCCTCATGTTAATCATGCCGCATTTATGCACCAGTTTGAGCAATCCTTCTGTAAAATAATTCATTTAAACTGTCTTGTTGTGAGGCATGACAACAAAACTTATAAATGAGGATATACAAATACATGAGGCATCAATAGAGAAGAAGGCATATATCTTTTCAGTGCCATGTGTTGGGATAAATGCTCAAAGTGGACGCAAATCATTCTCTCTGATTTATTTGAGGGTATCATTTTTGTCTCTGGTTGTTAACCAAAAGTTATGGTCTTGTTAGGGTTGTAGTTGAATCGTTGTTGTTGTTTTTGCTATTTGAATTCTGTCTATACAAGTCTTGATTTTAAACCAGCTGTATAGTGAAAATTAAAACTTCTGGATGCATCCTACCAATTTGATTTGCATACCGTGGTTAAATGGTTAGGATGGTTAAAGGACGGGAAGTCAAGTCACATTTATTTATACAGCTCTTTATGTCTTCTCATTAATATATTAATCTTCTCATTAATAAACAGGAAAATAACAGTGTTACTGTTGTAAAGTTGATGAATTATGAAACTAATTCACTGTGGATTAATGAATGAAACTAGAAGCTCAGTGTTTGTTTCAATTCGGTTAAATAACTGTCAGTGTTTCAAAGTTATGAAACAAGTTCAATTATCAGCTATAAGCAGCTCTACAGAAGGTGATATCAGGTCAATGTTGATTCAGTTCAGTTCAATAACAGTGTCAATGTTACAAAGTTAGTGTCATTATCCAGCCCAAATCATTCTTCTGACAGTGTAGTTAAAGGTAGGGTAGGCAAAATGAGTTATCTTTCGCTGCTAATTGCATTTCAACAGTTTAAAATCACTTATTAAACCGCAATGCATAAAACAAATGGAAATGATAATCTTTCGTGACCACTCAGCACAGCAATGTCACATGAGTATAACCGCGATAGAGACTTAAGTCCAAAAATCTCTACCGGTTGACAAATTTCTACCGGAATATCACCCACCCCTACTTCTATTATTAATTATCACTATGTGAAAAGAGTTTCAACAAGTACAACAATAACTGTTTCTGAAAAACATTGCCTACCCTACCTTTAAATCTATAGTATTACTAAATATTAATTGTATTTTAATGTGATGATTGCCATCTTAAGACATCCCCATCTTTGCTGTTTTATAATTAATTCCAATGTTCAAACTTCTGTACGTCTATGAAAATTCATATTGTTTTTGTTTTGTGCATATTTGACTGTCATGTGTTTGACTGGGACATTTGTTTAGAAGATATTTTATTTTTTGTATTTATTTTTATTCATTTTTGTTTATTTTGTCTTAATTTTAAGCAATGTTGTTTACTGTTTCCATTTGAATCTGAAAGGAAAAAAGTGTTGAATATTTCATTTATTAATGATCTTTTCTCCTTAGAATTAAGGAAGTTGTGAAACACCGTTAGTATAATGGTGCTTGTTGCAACAGGGCATTATTCCCACATATTTGAGCATTTGGAATGGGAAGACTGGACTGTGGGAGGACTAGAATGTGGCCTGATTAGCCTAGACTAGTCTTCCAAATGTAAACAACACTGTCATCAGAATAATGATGTTTTTATGTAATGTTCTTCCACAGCCATTGTGGTTAGAAACCATTTCTGAAATGGCCCATAAATATTTTTTCATCCAAATCGTGAGCTGATCTTCTGTTCTGATAATTCATAGATAGGATTACAATGCACAATTCATTTCATGAGCTTGTTGTAAAGAGCCCACTCTGAGGCAACTTTCAGAATTTGACATTGTTTTATAAGGAGGGATGTCAAACTCACCCCATTGTTATTGTCATTGTCTCATTCATGCCATATAGGTTCATAGGCTTGTATTCAAACAAAGACTATTATTAAAGTGCCAACCTTAGGTTGGTAATATGTTACTTTTCTTATTATTCGTCTGGCTGAGCCTATATGGCAGCCATTAGAACTGCTTAGAGGAAAGTTTCAAACAGTTTTCCAGAAAAAATGTTGGGCTATTGAAAGATTGCAGCAGTCTTTATCACCATGTTCTGAAGGTATTTGAGAAGTTTGGGGACAGCGCCACCTACTTAATAAAACAATACCAGCTTTTACTTGGTTGGTCAGGACGACACTTGGTACGCATCATCGACACTGTTTTGGGATTGTGCCACCTAGTGATCGCTTTTTTCTATAAATCCTAAAATTTCAATCCAGTCCTGCTTAAAATCAATGATATTCAGAGCACGCTAGACAAAAAATAAATAAAAAAAGCATTTCAATGCTTTTGTAATGTCCTCATCTTGATATGTGTCATTAGACAGCTGTCAGAGTTTAGCAGTGTGGTGTGGTGGTTGAAGATCTGGGCTGTGTCCAAAATCGCCCCCTATAATCTTAAATAGGGCACTATTTGAGGGGACAGCCATTTGTAGTGGTATCCGAAACCATAGCGGACGATATTGAGTGCACTCATTTAATCCCACAATGCACTGCAATAACGAGTGTACAACCGATCTACGCTCAAAGGCTAGAGAATACCCATAATGCACTGTGAGAGTCGCGCGTCGAATGAATTCCCGCGTCTCGCCAGAAGATGGCGCTCGCAGCTGAATCATCCAGTGGTCCAATGTGGGTACAGTGTAATATCAAACAGGTATACATTTATTTTTAATTGATAATTAAATTCTTTAATTAGGATGTATACATGTTTCCATGACAGAGTTCAGGATAAATCTTTTCATCGTACTATTGGAGTGGCCAGTTTGCTAAGTTTCAAATGATTATTAAACAGCAAGCACAAACTATGCAAAAGCGGCAGCCCTTCCGGCACACCCAGTGTCCAAAATCACTCACTCGTTTTCATTCACTCCCTCAAGTGAACTATACTAGTGGACTAATGTAGGGAATAGTGAATGAGGGGGCGATTTCGGACACAGCCCTAGATTGCTGGTTTGAACCGTCCATGATGCAACTCTCATCATTTTTGCCCATCCATTGAAAGTCCACTCAACCAATATTTTCACACAAAAGTACAAAAAAACATTGTAAAAGTAATCCATATGGAGAGTTGATAGGTTTAATCAAAGTTTTGTGAAGAGACTCGATCGCTTTATATGATGAACAGATTCAATTTGGGCTTTTATTCACACACATAGAGCTCAATCAGAAGCTCAAACATGCTTGCTTGATGTGAATAAAAGCCTAAATTGTGAATAAAAATCTGTTAATGATATATCGTGCGATCGTGTCTCTTCAGAAGACTTTGATTAAACCTCTCGATTCATATGAATTACTTTAACAATGCCTTTATGAACTTTTTGACAATTTAGCTTGAATATTCTTTCAATGGAGAGAGAGAAATTATGAGAGAATATAAAAAAAAAGTGTTCTGAAGATAAAAGTCATACAGGTTTGGAATGGCATGAGGGTAAATGATGATAGAATTGTCCTTTTTTGGGTTAACTATCACTTTAATACATGTTTTCTCCCTGAATATGCATGTTTATTTATGCAAAACAAACACAAATATCAAAAATGTCTTATATATTATGCCACAGACAGGCGTTATACTGTTTTTTTTGTGTGACAAATGCTTCACCTCATCATTTGTTCAAATGAGGAGTGGAAGGTGTGTAGTTGGGTTTCCAAGGCAAATGAATACATTAGATGCACCAAAAACAAATCAACAAAATTGAACAAAGCCTCTTCATTTTACTATCAGCTTTTATTACTCATTGGTTGTCTCATTTTCATTCCAGGAATTTCTCTCTGAAGCAGGGAGTGTCTGCATACAAAATGCTCTGCAGTTTTCTGCTTCATAGGTCAGACACTGGTTTATCTTGTTTCTGTGGCTATGCTCACTCCCATCAAAATTTGTGCAAATTTGTATAAGAATTTGCTTGCATCATTTGGATGAGAGATATAGACCCCCATATAGACCCATTTATTTTGAAGGTCATATGCAAGAGCTCATTTACTGTAGATTTCCAATGTATGCTTAAATAAAACCCAAGACATACGAGGATATTATGGCTAGCGGGCTGTGCGTAATGTCTTGGAGAGTGATGTCATGGCCTGCTCTGCAGTAACTCTACATGAAATGCTTGTTTTTCTTTTTTCACAGATGTTATTCAGCATGATCGTTTTGCTCCCGTTGTTCGTTTATTTATTTCCACAGCGAGCATTTCAACTGCTTTTTGACATTTGCCCGAATGATAGATAATGCTCTGTAAAAGATAAACAAAACTGGGACAGCTGTAACGAAAAGAAAGAGAAATGTCTTGTCTTGACTGGGACTGTTGGCTCATGTTGATACCGATACCTTTATTCACTGTCTAATTGTACACACTACAGATGCGTCGTCCGCCTCTTCTGCTATGAGCACGGGAAGTCCTCGCAGTGCTTTTCCCACCTCTTCCACCTCAGCTTCAGAACGGGTCGCCGGGAATGACAGCAGCACGCCAGGAGATGTTAGCAGTCGGAGGAAAGCCGAGGTGCTGGCTGCGGAAAACAAGCTTTCCGGCAGGGTTTGTGGAGAAAAAGGTGGCCAGCAGACCCAGCAGCAACACCAGATGACACCCTCCAAACGGCCTGTCCTCAACATCTCGCCTCCACCCGAGGACCTGTTCGATGACAGCAACATGTCCTGCCAGGATGAGCTGCTTCTCGACTCAGAGCAGAGTAACAGCATCTGGATGGAAAACTCAGTCTCTAACTTCAGCATTGTGAGCTCCAGCTCCTACAATGACAACACTGAAGTGCCCCGCAAGGCCCGCAAGTGTACCCCCCGACAGAAGCCGGGGTCAAAGCCGGTCGCCGCTGAAGAGGCCAGCATGGATGTCTTTGATGCGGACAGTGCCAAAGGTCCACACTTTGTGCTCTCACAACTTGGCCCAGACAGCAAGACCTGTTCCAAAGCAAGGTGAGCCATTTAGTGCCATGGTATACTTTGGGCCTCATGGCCTTCTTGTACGTTTTGGTGCCTGTTTGTTGGAGATTGGTGTGAAGAACCCAAAATGTTTAATCAAAATAAAGGAATAGATCACTCAAAAATAAAAAATCTGGCATCATTTGCATTACTATAATGTCATTATAGACCCAAGATCTTGGAAACCCCCAAAAATCTTCTAAGAACGTTTCGCTAATTTTCCCATTAAATTATGATTTTTTTTTTTTTTTTTATCTTGGTTATGTAAATGTTAGTGGCAACATTATGGGAATGTTCCTTTTGTATGTTATCTGAACTATTTGAAACTAATAAGAAGTGTTGGGTGAAACGCATTACTAAGAAATTTTAATTTTCCCTTGAAAATTTAAAGTAAGGGATTACTCCTCCCTTATCATTTCCCTGTGTCATTTATTTACAGTAACTTCTGATGTAATTGCATTAAATACTGTATAGACTGTAGAAAAAATGTATATGAAACAATAGTGGATTAATAGTGCATTAATTTAATGTCTTATTTTAAAGTGTATGTTTTAATGTAACCTTCTCCCTTTGGTCAGTTTAAGAATAATTTATGCAATTTTATATTATATATTTGGAAAAATTCAAAGAGCAGTTTCATGTCTATCTATTGTTCAACTGGTCGAGGTTGATATGGGATTTAGAAAGTAATTAGTAATAAGTTATGGAAAAGCTTTATAGAGAGAGTAATTAGTGTAGTAATCTAATTACACTGTTGAAGATATAATTAGTAGCTAGTAAAGAATTACTTTTTTAGAGTAACTTACCAAACACTGCTAATAAGTATAATCCTCTGAGCCCCTTCATTTTGAATTTTGAGGCCTTTAACATATCCAACTCATGTCCATGATTTTTTTGTGTATTCACATAGCTAATGTGACAAAAGTCACCAAGTGTCATCCCATTAAGATGAAGCAAAACTTTTCTTTTTAAAATGGAGTACATTTTTTTGCTCAGTTCTGACCGAAGAGGCCCAGAAACCGGTAGATGAATGTCTAACTAAAATATTTCAGAAAAAAAGTTCCATAAATGATGTATAAATAATGTTTTTGTGCAAAAGTTTTGAGAACGTTATTAAAGACCATTCAACAAACATTTAATTAACATATTGGAAGAATGTTTGTTCATACCTTTTCTAATGTTCCCATTAAGTTGTGAAAACTTCTAAACTTTCTGAATGTTCTCTGGTTGTTTAAAACGTTTTTTTTTTTTTTTTTTTAAAGAGATGGTTTTTCATGGTTATGTGAATGTTAGAGACAACATTAAGGAAGGCTCCATTTTATAATTTTGCAAACATTAATAAACCTAACTTTTGAATGTTCTCTGAACTATCTGAAACCAGTAAGATTTAAAAAAAAAAAACATTAGATGAACATCTAACTAAAATGGAGTGAGTGAGTGAGTGAGTGAGTGAGTAAGTGAATGAGTAAATGTTGACAGAACATCATTTTTGGATGAAATAAAGGTACAAAAACCCCAATTAGCTTTCGACTGATGTTCACCAATGATCCTTGTTTCATAGCTCTGATGGACCTCAAGCATCTGGTCTCAAAGGCGGGATACTGTCTTGTCAGTATCCTCAGAAAAGTGAAGGGAAAGAACTGAAGATTGTGGTGCAGCCTGAGACTCAGCATAGAGCGCGTTACCTGACCGAAGGCAGTCGTGGGTCTGTGAAAGACCGAACACAGCAGGGTTTCCCTACTATCAAGGTGGTTACCTACAGTTGTTGTCTCTTTAGGGAAAGTTGCAACACAAATGAATGTACCTTTAAGATGAGTCTTATGAAATGGTTCTCTTCTCACTTTTCCCTATTGATATATGCATTGTTACTCTGTTAACCGCAAGTTTCTTGATCCTCGCAGCTTGAGGGTGTGAAGGAGTCAGTGGTCCTGCAGATTTTTGTGGCCAATGATGCTGGACGTGTGAAACCCCATGGGTTCTACCAGGCTTGCAGAGTTACAGGCCGGAACACAACTGCCTGTAAGGAAGTGGACATTGAAGGCACAACTGTCATCGAAGTGCCTCTGGATCTCAGCAGCAACATGACTCTGGCGTATGTAACAACGTGTCAACTAGTAGAATTGCACCCCACTTTGAAGCTTAAAATTGTTCATTAACCTTTAAACTGAATATTCAAAAAGAACAATCCCCAGTATTCTAATCCAGAGGCGGTATTGATCAAATGTGGTTGGAAGTATTGATATTGATGATGACCAGCTGACACCAGGGTGTCTTTACAGTGTAGATTGTGTGGGGATCCTGAAGCTCAGGAATGCCGATGTGGAGGCCCGTATTGGGGTGGCTGGATCTAAAAAGAAGAGTACCCGTGCCAGACTGGTGTTTCGAGTCAACATCCCACGCCCCGATGGCTCTGTGCTCACGTTACAGACCTCGTCGTCTCCCATACTGTGCAGTGAGTGGCTTTGGGTTATTCATAGCATCTCCCTGCTGGCGAGCCCAGCTGGTGCTCTCATCACATAGGAGAGGTAGGGATTAGACGGGGGGATAATGAATGTTTATATTATTAAAGCCATAGAGCCAAAAAAAAAAGGAGAGAGAATGAGTATTAGGCAGAACATCAGGTGCTTACTGTGATGAATTGTACTAAAATTGAATTTCTGTGTCGCCAGCAAATATTCCAGGTTGATTACAACTTAAGTTCTACTGACACCATCTGTAGCGTTCTGTCAATTACCACAGAAAATGCTTTTGATTTATCCCTCATTGTGTTAGTAAGGACAGAAAAGACATTTGCTGGGGTTGTTGTTCATTACATTTACATTTATGCATTTGGCAGACACTTTTATCCAAAACGACTTACATTGAATTTCAAGGTACACATTTACATTCTTATCGGTTCTTATTATCATTAAGTGCAATCATTTCTAAATTGTTCTTTTTAAGAGGTGTTGTTACATTGACACAATTTCTTAAAAATGTGGCGTGAAATGCTAAAAAAACAGTTAACACTGAAGTAGACAATATAAAAGTGCACATGTGGAATAATTGCAATTTATTTGATTATCATGTAATGAGAATTATTATGTAAAAAAATAGTTTTTGCTTAAAACGAGCAAAATGATCTGCCGATGGGGTAAGAAAATTCAGTTTGAATTAAGATTATTATTCTTACCCCATCGGCAGATCATTTTGCTTGTTTTAATCAAAAACTCACTTCATTTAGATTTTTCCCCCCAGAAAACAAAACATAATATCTTATGGCATTTTACTACTTTAGTAAATGCATCTTGATTTAAGAATTTTTTGATATTTGGACTGGAAACAAGACAAAAATACTAAGTAAGAAAATCATTTTTTGCAGTGTTGACAAGATGTAATTCGCTTATAATTTAACTCTTAAAGGGGTCATATAATGGTACATGCACTTTTACAAGTTGATTGTACTGAAATGTGTGTTGGCAGTGTCTGTACACAACCATCATATAATGATAAAAATCCATCCAGTGGTTTTGTTTTAATCTTCTTATATGTTTTCCCCTGCCTCAAATCGAGCCGTTCGACCATGTGACGTCACAGGCTCGCACGCCCCTCCCGCGATTGTTGATTGACAGCAGCGTTTCAACACAGACCCGCCCTCGCTCATGAGGGAGCTGTCAATCATAGTCTGCGCGGCCATTGTTGATATGCTGGAGCACTGTCTATGAGCAGAATGGCGTCTAAGCGATTGTGGTGTTCTGTTCTTGGGTGTAATAACGAACACAGCAGTCATTTTAATGTTCCTAAATCCGAACCGCTGAAGACGCAGTGGCTGTGTTTGTTTTCGAAGGGAATATTCCCCACGAGCAACGTCAATGCTCTCATGTTTGAATCATTTCACACACCAGACTGCTTTATAAACGAGGATCAGTATAAAGCTGGATTTGCTAAGAAGCTTTGCTAAAAAGGATCGGTACCAGCTATTCGTGTTCCTGCTGAATCTCCAGAAGAACGGAAGTGAGTGAAACGTTTTATTAAACTTTATATTAATATATTAATCTTTGCAAATCGCTAGCTGCACGCTTCACAATGAATGCGTCTAAGGTTTACACTTAGGGTACATTAAGGCATGTTTTCTATGTATGACGTTCTCAATATAATTCATAATCCCACGTTTATACTGAACAACGCGTTATGGTTATTGTGTTATTGAGTTACAAATGGTGAATGCACAGAACAGAGAGGCGGGGTGAGCAAAGCTCATTATCATTTAAAGTCATATGCACTGAAACGGCGTGCTGAAAACAGAGCTGTTTTTGACCAGGTAAAATAACTGTTTTCTTACAATACTAATGAGAATTTTTAATTGAAGTATATTACAAACTTTTAATTTAGACCCTAAAGAATCATATTAGCTTGTACAAAAATGGCATTATATGACCCCTTTAAGAAGCAACTGTACCTCCTTGCCTGCTTTTGTAGGCAAATGCACTTCTGGTTATGCATTACCAGCATATAATCTGTGTCCATTCCTGGTTTCCTTGTGTGGATACAAAGTAAAAGTATGCAGGTTTTCCACTAGTTACAGGCTGATTTTGCTGTATGGATTTGTTGGCCCACATGTAATGTCAGATGTGCAGAAACAACGGTAACACTTTACTTGAAGGGGTGTGCATAAGACTAACATGACACCTTCATAATCATGACATGACACATTGTTTTATGCATGTTTGTGACAACTGTCATTAAGTGTCATTCGCTCAGTTATGACATTTTTAATGCAAATATGACATTGTTTGAGATGTCTTTGTTATGACACCTTGACATAAACAAATACATCATAACCTGTCAGTGTCTTTGTCATGACAACTTGACATTACTAAGACAACACAACCTGTCTTAAACATGACATAACAGATTAATTATCAAACTTAAGAAACCACTTAGCTTTATTGGTTAACGTTACATTAAACTGTCAGGTGGTTGGTTTTGACATTGGCTGTCATGAAGCCATTATAACTGTTTAATGACAAATTCAATTTGTACCACTGTAGTTGAGGTCACTAAAAAATATTCATGACACAGTTATAATGGCCTTATGACAGCCAATGTCAAAACCAACCACATGACAGTTTAACTTAATTTAATGTCAAGTTGTCATGACAAAGACACTGACAGGTTATGATGTTATGGTTTATGTCAAGGTGTCATAACAAAGACATCTTAAATAATGTCATATTTGCATTCAAAATGTCATTATTGAGCGAAAGACACTTAATGACAGTTGTCATAAACATGCATAAACCCTACTTCATATTCATGACATATGTCATGTCATGGTTATGAAGGTGTCATGTCAGTCTTATGTACACCCCTTCAAGTAAAGTGTTACCGAAACAACATTTTTAGTCATGGTCTGCTGCACAGAAATATTGTTACCTAGCTGTGTATCCTAATGGATTTTTTCTCTCTTTCTCCGATTGGTTCTGTTTTTATAGCCCAGCCTGCAGGAGTACCTGAGATTCTCAAGAAGAGTTTACACAGTTGTTCTGTTAAAGGGGGGAATGAAGTCTTTATTATCGGAAAAAACTTTCTCAAAGGAACCAAGGTCATATTTCAGGGGAATGCTTCAGGTATCCTTACATGTTCAAGGTGTCATAGTCTTTTCTGTGCAGCTTTTCCCGCATAACACTTGCACTGTTTAACCGCTGCCTGTTTGATTGTAGCAGATGATAAGTCCTGGAAGGCAGAGGCTGACATTGACATGGAGTTTTTCCATCAGGTAAGCCATAGCATCTGCTGTGTCTATTATTTGACTGTGTGGGATGATCAAGCACTGCAAAAATAGAGGCAGCTTTGCACAGGTCACAGACATCAGTGTCCCCAATTGTTGCCTGACATGAATATGGAAAGAACGGCAGATTGATGACCTAAATACACAAACAGTACGCAATAAAGTTTTTAGTTCTTTTTGAGCTAGTGATTTAAATAGATCTGTTTTTACAGTGACTTGTCCTGAAATGTCAGAAGTGATTTTAGTCATTTTCAATGTTCTTTTTAATACTTTATGTGCTGCCACAGCAAACTATATTATACTAATGCAAAGGGACCATCATTTACACAAATGTAGCCAAAAATGGCTTTGAGGAGTAAATAAATCTGGCTAGTGTTGAAATTGCAACAAAAGGCATGGTCAGAAATCCCATTTTATTTCAGGTGATTTGAGTGAAATATATAAAATAGTCTGATAGTCTTCCAACACTTCTTTGAAGACTTTTCATATATATGACACCACCATAATGTTGTGATTAAAAAAAGATGTTATCTTTTAATCTTTGACTTTCTCCCCTTTTAGAATCACATTATTGTCAAAGTTCCTCCATATCAGAATCCAGCTATCACATCTCCTGTATCTGTTGGTATCTATGTTGTTACAAATGCCGGACGATCCCATGATGTTCAACCATTTACGTACACTCCAGAGCCAGGTCAGTTTAATCTCCACCCCCGTTTCCCAACCCCGTTCCTGGAGGCACACCAACAGAACACATTTTGGGCGTCTTCCTTATCTGACCCATCCATATTAGGTCTTGGAGTCTCTATGAGCTGATGAGTTGAATCAGTTGTAATTGAATAGGAACAGTTTGAAAATGTGTACTGTTGGTGTGCTTCCAGGAACAGGGTTGGGAAACACTGTGCTAGAACGGTTTACCAATTAGAAAAATCACTAATTTTGTATACATTTTTACAGCTGTTGATTCCTCTGTGAAAAAGGAAGTCTTGCCTCCAGTGACACCTTGTTGTTTTGAACAAATAAAAGGTGAGCAAACATCTATGTGACAATTAGCATAACGTGATGTTGCGCTATGAGTGCCAGGGTATTTCCTGAAATGGAAGAGTCATTGGCCTTCTGTCTGTTGTTTCATACAGTAATCGATACTGCCTTGATGACGCCGGTTTTGCCTCTTGTTAAACGAGAAGAGGCCACACCAATGGAGGTCTCTAGTAATCCCTCGGCCTTCAAGGTTTGTATAAATCATGAGACAGAAATCACCATAATAAATCAGCATCAAGCATTTCCGTATAATTTGATGAATGCCTATGTTAAACCCAACAGACATCTGAAGTCATCAATTCAGCCCAGCAAGCCTTAGACATGAGTACTGAGATCTCCACCAATAACTGCAAGTTTTCCAGTCCGCTGGCACACCAAACAAGAGAACAGGATCAATCTCCGAATTCTGTCTTTTCTAACAAGGAACCATTCAGCACCATCCAGGAACATAATCTTGCATCCAGCGGGTCTTTCCACGTGCCTAATAAATCTCTTCTCCAGCAAGGAGTTCAGCCATTCCTCTTGGAACACAGAGACAGTCTTGGACAGGAGAGATCAGGCAACAGTGGCGGATCAGTGGTGGGTCTGTCCCAGATAGATGACAACCCGCAGCAACAGCTCTCCCTTCTACCTCCAGATGAGGTGGCACAACTAGAGCAGGCTGTGCGGCAGCTGCAAGCAAAGGGATTCTGCAACATCCAACTCCAGAATGAGAATTCAATGTCAAAGCAAAGACAACATCAACTTCAACAGCAGCAGCAACAAATCCAACAACAGCAGCAGCAAATCCAACAACAACAGCAGCAAATTCAGCAACAGCAGCAGCACATCCAGCAACAAGAGCAGCAAATCCATCTGCAGCAGCAGCAACACCAGCAACAGCAAACTCTGGAGAACCTACAACATCAGATTTTTCAGCCCCAGGTTCAGATTCATTGTAGTTCGGAGCAACCGAGCTCTTCCCAGGGAATCGTCGTGCAGAATGGAAATTCCCTCTTCCAGCAAACCCCATCACAACAGCAGCAGCAGCAGCAGCAGCAAGCAACCTTGTTTCAACAAGCAACTAGCTTTCTTCAGCAGCAACCCAGTCATTCCTCACCTTCCCTGTTTCACAATCCGACGGCCATGACTGAAGCCCAAAGCCCACAGGAGGCTCTTTTCCACACACAGAAGACCTCACCCAACCAGGATCAGGTCCAGGCTTCCCTTTTCCAAAGCAATCTCAATGTTCTCAGTGGGTCCAACATGTCTGTAGAAGCTCAGTCCTCTGCAACCAGTATGTTTCTTTCCCAGAATGCTGTACCAGGTCAACTTACCGTTAATGCCAGTCAGCCACAGCAACTGGCTTTCCTCACTTCTATGCAGGGGACTCTCGAGGCCCCATCTGTATTTCAGACTCCAACCCAACTGTCCCCCATCCAGCAAGGCACTCCGATGGAGCAGCAGCAGTCACCACAGCATGCCCAACCTGGCTCCATTTTCCAGAGTATCTCCCAATCACCAAGCAAACTGTCTCCTGGTCAGCAACAGCAGGCTGGTCTACTTCTTGGGTCCTTAAATTCTCCAGTAACACAAGAGCAAACTTCAAATATGTTATTCAGTGGACAAGTTCAGATTGGATCGATGAACAACAGCAGCCTAGCTTCTCCAGAACAACAGAACACTTCCCTTCCCTTCTCTCAGGCCGGCATGGTTACAGTCAGGCAGCAGGAGTCATCTAAACCCATGACATTTCAGGATCAGACTACTATGGTGGTCAACCCGTCCTCGAATAAGCCAATTTTCCAAGACCAGCAACCAATGCAGTTGGCACCAAGTTCTGGTACAGGCCCTTCGCAGTCTGTAAACCTCTTCATGGCCCAGTCCAACATGCAAGGGGGGATGGCTTCTCAAGAAACCCTTTTTGCACCACAGAGTGATGTAACCGGAATTCAAACCAGCACTTCCTCTCCAGTACAACAGCCTGGTCAACTCTTTCAGACTACAATGGGTGGAGACCTCAACCAGCCCAACCGGAATCAGCAGCCCGACCTCTTCCTTTTTGAGATCCAGAATGGTTAGGCAGTGTTCTTAAACATCCTTTAGACGACTTGTTTGTTTCGTAATTCAGAGTTGTAACTCATTCTAATGATTTCTTTCCTGCAGAGTGCCGTCAGCTAATGAACAGCCCAGGATCTACACTATCTGATCAGATCATTGCCATCAGTCAGTCTGGGCAGAGACAGCAAGAGAGTGAGGGGCAAATCCAGTCTTTACTTGGCCAGTCTATGCCAGACCCTGGAAATGTGCCGAGCACCTTGACAACCTCTCAGAACATGGAGAAGATTGACGATCTTCTGGTGAGCCTTCAGGAGCAAGGCAATAACATTTCCCACTCCTACTAGGGTCTTCAAGGATAAGCTGCCCAATATCTCCATTCCATATATGATTGTTGATATTTCTTGCACACATATTGGATATTTTGGTATCCTTTATTTTGGATATTGCAAAAATATTGGATTGGAGATACTTTGATCATACCCCTTATAGCAAGAGTAGGCCATTAACTTTTATTTCATTCTACACATTGACACTGAGACAGTAGAGTCGCCTGTTGAAAGATTTGGCAAAATCTCTTGAATAATCACAACTAAAACCATGGTATACACATTCTGACCTGAAATTCTTAGGCAAAATGGCAGAACCCTCTGGAGAACCTCAAGGCATCCTTAAAGAAGGGCAGTTTTCCATGGATCTTACAAAATGCAACCCATATGTTTTAAAGACCGTCATTGGTTCTGCAGCAACCCCATCATAAATTAAGGCTTCAAGGCAGTTATTGAAGTTCCTTGAGTACACAAAAGGATATTTGAGGCACCTGGAAACCTGGTGTGGCAGTCTAAGGAACTAAAAGGGTGCCTTGAGTATCTCTTTATTTTTACAGTGATGATGAGAGCATTTTGTGAAGATCAGGACACATGAGATGTCCGTTTTTAGCTGTAAACTAAACAAATAATCAAGAATGCCTGATAGAAGCAGTCTGCAGTGACATTTTTTTTTTTTTTTGTAAACAGTCATTAATACCTTTTTCTCTGACACACTTGAGTATAAGCTATTTCTCTTTTGGAAAAATCTTTTTAGTCAAATGGGAAAATAAATTGTGTAGAATATACATATGTACATTCACTTAGAATATAAGTGAGAAAACAAATGTGTTTTGGCATTTTCCTTCTAGCACTTTATGTATGTTTTCAGTGTGGTTAGTTATTCCTGACTCATTGACATTTCATCAAGCTTTCTATCTCAAACCAACCATGTTTACTGAATACATAATTCTACTGTCTTTCATCTCTGTGTTTTTTAGACTAATCCGTATAGTACTAGCAATTAGAAATGCACATTCCTGGTTAAAAATCAAACAAGTAGTTATCAGTAATCTAAAAAAAACAAAGCTTCTGATATTTATTTTTGATTTTGGTTTACACAAGTCATTTCTTGCCATCATAGTTCGATTGGTATCTATGTTTTGCATGTCTGAGTGTCCTATATATATATGTGTGTATGTGTGACATATTTTCTGATTATACCTCTAAAAGTAAACCTCTATTAAATTTATTCTTATAATGATTCTAAAATATTGACAGTTGATGCTCAAATCATTTTGTGTCATCGTGGTAGGTTATTTTATTTAGTTTACCAGTGTCTGGTACGCTGGAACAGGGCTGATTGCATTTTTTGGGGGGCAAATTAGAAGGCAGTGTCCAACCAGTATTATCGACAAGTTCTCTGAATATACAGTAAATACAAACGCTATAAATGCTGGGGAAGCAACCTTTTATCTTCTGTAGCAGAAACCGTTTTTATCAATCACTTCTACTTAAATGCTAAAATGTTATAGCCGTCGGCATGTCAAAACCAATATTTTATCTACCGTACTTTTATCGAAAATTGGTCAATTTTGTGGCTCAGTTGGTTCAATGTTTGTGTATTCGGTTATGAAGTGAGTTTGTTTTGAATGTAGAGAAACATTATGAGCTATATATTTCTGGTAATATCAAGCTCATGTATGTGTTCTAGTGTCAGACATAATGTAAAGCTGCCAAACTAGTTTGTGTGCTTAATATTAGGCTGATGTGACATTAGTTGGCAGATTGTTTTGTTGTTAGCATGAGGGTGAAAATATATACATTATGAGGGAGCTGTTCTCTGTAATGTTACAGAAATGGCTCATTTGAGCCTGCTACGTTTGGTATTAAATGTCAATTTTTTTTGACTATTTTCTTTTCTCAGAAATTTGGGTGATTTTATGCCTACTTTTTAGTAGAGACGATTTGATCTTTTTTTCCTTTTTTTGGGGGGAGAAGTTTTGCTTAAGGGGTGCTTTTTTATATCTCTGCATGGGAAAGAACTGTGAACGGGAACTGGAAAAAAGTCTTCATCTCTGTACAATACTAATTGTAATATTTTTCCATAATCAATATTTATGTGAATATTTACTTTTTCACCCTACCTCTTTTTAGAAAGTATTTATTTTTGTGTCTCAAGAATTTTCACAATTAGAATCAAAGTCTATTAGATTTCAATTAGAATGCATAATTATAACATATTTCATATGTAGCTTTTGTTTCTTTTATGTCAAATCTTTTAAAGAAAAAAAATGTGCGTGTGTTTGTGTGTGTATCCCATATACTATTGTAACATCATGTTTAGGCTATAGAGACTTTGTTGAGAATCATTATTATAATGCACAGCGATTCGGCGATTATTTAAATATAACTGAATTCCTATAATGATTTCATCAATCTTTTGGGAAATATAAGCCATATAAACAAACATTGCCCCTAAAAATTCTATATTGTATGATTCTTGGGACCAATTATGAATTATTTATAGTTCAATTTAGCAAACTAATCATCTGTTTTGGGTGCAATAACATTTATAATTTAAAAGTAAATATTTATAAATTAAAAGAAATTCAACAAAATGTAATAGGAACACAAGTGTTTAAGTGTTTTTCTTTAAAATATAATAAAAGTCAGTTCAATATTGCAAGTGAGGCTGTGCATATCACATTTTTTTTCATTTATTTATATTCTGACACATTCGTCCTACTCATCCCAGTCAATAAATGAATACCAAACAATGTGCCTCTAAATGGACTAAAACCAATTAATTTTTTAATTGGTTGCATGACATGGTAAATATACAGCAATTAGTCGTGCCTTCTGATTTAAAAGCAGATCATTTCCTGGCCATTGCCTATTTTGACTGGTCATGAAACGACACCCCTTTAAAATTTGTTCCACAATGGATACGTAGGCCATGTTGTATGTTTCACTTTAAAGGTGCAGTAAGCAATTTCTGAGAACTATTGTTGAACACTGATGATATTTGAAATCAACCCAAACAAACATGCCCCTCCCTTCATTGCTCCGCCCCCTAAATGCACAAACATGCATTGCAAGAGTCGACGTCTCTTTATCATAGCTGAAGCGAAGCAAAATAAAGCTTTGTAAAAAGTAAAACGAAGATGAGTAAATACTAGCAGTGAGTGGACACACCCCCTGCTGCTGATTGGCTCACTCTCCTCCCCCATCATGAATGGACACCTGCCCCTTACTGCTGATTGGCTCACTCTCTCTCCTCCCCCATCATGAGTGGACACGCCCACTACCGCTGACCACTTGAACTACAAGTGTGTTGAGCTGCTCGGTCTGAACCATTTTTAACAGCGTTTCTCAGAAATTGCTTACTGCACCTTTAAATTGACTAGATCAAGAATAAGCAATATTATTCACAATAAACACAATTCTTTTATTTAATATGCTTCTTTTTAAATTTTTGTTTAAACTGATATGCAGTTAGACTGAGTGCATATTCAGTTGGAATTTATTCTTTGTTACGGTTCTGCTGCTTATTAATGTATGAGAATTCCTAATGTGCCATAAAGAATGTCAATATTATGTCAGTCTTATGGCAATATACTTTTATGTGTCAGTTTGCTCTATTGTGTTGTTGTCTGATTTGGAAGTTTCTGTTGTGATGATAACATATTACTTCTGACATAATTGTGACACTTAAGGCTACAAAAAAAAATCATATAGAAGCATTTTGCTTTTGTTGGGGCATTTTTACTCTTGCAGCTATTTTCCCGTAAATGTTATGCGGCTATGTATCAATAAAAATAGGTTAAATAAAAGTAATTACAGAATCTTGTTGTCAATCATTTATTTGGTTCTGAAAATCAATACTATATCCTTCCTGCAAGAAGTACTGCAGTTTCAGGACTGCATTTCTAGTTTTGTTGTGACATCTACACCAATTCTACTCCATCAGAGACCTGAATTAAAACTCAAACAAACAGATCATGGAAAGACTAGACCCACGGAAAGGATTCAATTTTATTTTCTGTCGCTGTGATCGGCCTAAAAGGAAAACAAGGTTATTTAAATTGAAGTTAGGATTAAATAACTATTAATACTAATAACTAATAATAATTACAGAAGTAATACTTTATTATTCATATGTCCTGTGTTTGCAATGAAAGAGAACTGCAGTAAGGTTTTCTGAGCAATAGAGGTCACTGCTCTCAGCCAACAGATTCTGCTTCTTCATTGCACTTCATTCAGTCACCTAAAAATGATTAGACAAGACCAGACTCGACTTACGATGTCATTTCTAGCGATACATTTCTACGGTAGTCATTAAATATTCACTTAGTTTTCACTAAAGCTCTCTCTCTATTTTGCTGTAGATCATTAAACTGTTACGCTGCCTCAGAAGTCTGTCTGAAATCAGTTTCGTGAGGTACCTTCGCGCGCAGACGCTGCCTGCAAAGTCACTGCCTGAAAGGGCAACGAGGCAACAAGTCAGGTTGCCTACGTTTTCAGACGCAGCCGTAGTAATTTACTAATTTAAAACAGCTAAGCGGCGTTGTTTGCATTACCGCATTACCACCTCGGTTGTGGATTGTTTTTCTAATAATTCAACGGCCTGTAGTTTTCCACTTTTTAAAACAGTTTCGCTTAAATTTTTATATACGCTTACATATATATATATATATTGTAAGAAAAAATGATGTGTATATATATATTTATATATAAAATATTTTTTTTTGTTAGATGCGATTAATCGATTTGACAGCACTAATGATATATTAACACTACTTCAAAAGAGATCTATGTGTAGCTGTAGGCCTATTTTAATTCACAGAATTAAATATTAACAGGTTAAATACTGATACATTTCACAAATTTAAATCACAATAATAGGAGGGTTAATTTGTGCCTCAAATTTAATGGGTGAAATAGTAGAATTACAAGAACTGATGCAACATGACAGAAAATGTCATAAGTGGAAGTGACCATGCGGAAAGGGTCTTCAAATATTATTGAGGAAGTATTGTGTGTGTGTGTGTGTGTGTTTGTTTTGTTAAATTTTTTTTTTTATATTTATTTATATTTTACAGTTTCATCATTTAACAATTAACCACCATTTAACCATTAGTTTGTGTAATATTGTGTTATTCGTTTTAATATTATTATGAATGAACATTTCTCTTGGTGTTGTTAATGTTAACATGCAAATATTTATAAAATAAATCATTAGAAGAGAAAGTGACTGATGCAACGGTACTTTTACGCTGAAATGTGGTTGAATATTAGCTAGTGTATTGCTGCTGTGTTGTATATCTAGCTACCGCTGTGTGTGTGTGTGTGTGTGTGTGTGTGTTTGGCGGAAGAGCGCGGAGAAGAAGATGGCAGACGGAGCTGTCGTGGATGGAGACAAACTCAGCAAAAAGTACATACATATTTATAGCATTATGCTTATCCTGTACGAAACGCTAAACATAAGTTTGCTTGTGTGGATTGTATGGCTTAGCGTGAATTTCACTGCTGTGAGATTCGGGTTAAACGCATGTTGGGCAACGTGGTTAGATCCGCGTGAACGCGATTGACTGACAAGAGTTTTTTGATTCCTAGTGTTTGTGCCGATAATTCTCTCGCCAGCATTCTCGCGAATCTCGTTTATGCTCGTAAATCCTAAAATTGCACAGCCGGTTGCATGTATTCTTCCAAATGACAACTTCCTTCCCCATAATTCCTTAGCGGGTCTACAGAAAGCTAATGGCGTATTCGCTCATGAGAGGTCAGAATTTTCCGTTACCCAGTATTTCAAAGAACCGATTCGGCAATTATTTTACGTCGTGACTTCGTCAATATATCTTATTGTAACGTCCCTGCGATTAGGCTATTAAAGTATCTTGTTTTTCGCCTTATCAGTCTAAGTATTGTCTGAATGCTTTCACTATCGGTTTTCAGGTCATGCTGAATTCGGACTAGCATGCTAGGATACTATTCTTACAACAGAAGTAACTTAGTTTCATTATAATGCCGTTTCGAATTCAGCTAAAGAGATTCTTATTATTGAACCGATTCAAATGATTCATTGGAAATATCAGACTCAAAAGAACGAGTGGTCAGCTGTTTCTCTCTCTCTCTCTCTCTCTCTCTCTCTCTCTCTCTCTCTCTCTCTCTCTCTCTCTCTCTCTCTCTATAGAGTAAGTTTAAGTTAGCTGTTTCATCTGCCAGGACGAGAAAGTATTTCATAATCGCAGTATTATTATTCTAGAATTTCTTCACATGGTAACATTTTACAGTAAGGTTTTGTTAACATTAGTTAACAGCGTGGCCTAACAATGAAAAAAAATTCGAAAGCATTTATTACTCTTAATGTTAATAGTAACATTTGCTATTACATTATTAAATTAAAAAGTTGTATCTGTTAATAATATTTAATAGATACATACTGAGACAAATGTAAGAGTCATTGCATTAACTAATGGGACATTATTGTAAAGTATTACCATCAACATTATTAAAAAAAAAACAACAACAATGATACCATTATGCATTTATGATAGTGATAACTAATACCATAGGAGGCTACCATGGTATCATCACCATATAATATAATTCTTGTACCATGGTACGTTTCTGTAAGGGTGCAATAAATCTGACCCTAATTTTTTTTTTTGATTCATCAAATAGGGCGTTCGCATCATGTTGACTCTGGTCAGAATATGCAGGCTGCAAGCGTTCAGGGCGCAGACGTTTGCTCTTCCCAGTTCACAAAGCCTGCCTTTGCTTATTCAAGGGAGTCGCTGGAGAAGTGACAAAAGGTTGGTGGTCTTTCCATTTAATGCGAAAAGCGACCAACCTTTTGTCACTAAAAAATATTGCTTGTTAGAGACTTCCACAGCATGAATGTGCCAGCTGCGCAACACCAATGCTAGTAGTGTTTCTCCGCGTGGCGTCTGAGCTTCGTTCTAACCCTATATGTCTTTAGTGAGTTGAAAAGGCGCATGAAAGCTGAGAAGAAGGCAGCTGAGAAGGAAGCCAAGGTCAAAGAACAGCAGGAACAGGAGACCAATGACAAGCCACAGCAAAATGCATTTGGGGCCGATGAGGAAACCCTGGACCCAAATGTATGTTGGGTATTGATTATGGAAGTCATACTTCTGGCACTCAAATTCAGAATCAATTGTGACTGATTTATCTTGCCTCTCTTGTTTCCAATACAGCAATACTTCAAGATCCGTTCACAAGCCATTCAAGCCTTGAAGGGAACAGCTGAAGACCCGTACCCTCACAAGTTCAATGTGGACTTGTCGCTTATGGAGTTCATTGAGCGATATAGCCACCTTCAGCCAGGGGACCACTTGACTGATGTTGTCCTCAATTTATCAGGTAAATGTTTTCTTCTTGTTTTTTAAAGAGATAGCTCACCCAAAAATGAAAATGATAATTCACTCACCCTCAAGCAATCCTAGGTGTATGTGACTTCTAGGGCTGAAACGATTCATCGAGTTACTCGATTAACTCGATTACGAAAATTCCTCGAGGCAAAAACTCTGCCTCGAAGCCTCGTTAAATTCCTATGACGCGCACTATACGCGCAGGGATCTATACTATAGCGCGTGATACATTTTTAATTTAATTGGCGCGATGGCGGAGAGTAAAGATGTCCATAAACGGCAGAGAATGTCTAAAGTTTAGGATCATTACATACTTAAAAAGGAAGAGAACAAGGTGCAAAGTGTCAACTGGAAAGTAGACCTGGCATACCACAACAGTACGACTTCAATGATTCAGCATCTGAACCAAAAACATCCACTCCGTGCTGTTTCACCAAGCGTCGCTGAAACAAGGTAAACTAATGGTGTGTTCACACCAAACGCGGATAGAGCGTCAAATACGCGTTTATCGCGTCTAGTTAGACGCTTGAACATTCGCTCGAGTTCCAATTTTTCAACTTGCGCGGAACATGTTCGTGGCAAACGCGCCGCCCAATTCGCGTCAGTCGCGACGCCCGGCGCGAATGATGCGTCTATTGGCGTCTTTGCATTGACTTTGTATGTAATCTACTCGCGCAAATAATTAAATTTGTGTTCGGTGTGAACACACCATAAGCCTATGATACATTGATGTTCACTAGGGGTGTAACGATACACAAACCTGACGGTTCGGTTCGTCCCACGGTTTTGAGGTCTCGGTTCGGTTCGGTTCATTTCGGTGGGGTGGGGGGGTTTAGAAAGCTAAAATTGCTTTTATTTTTTATTAAACAGTGCTTTAATGAACAAATTGTGTCCTTGTCTTTAAATTAATTCAATTACAAGTAAACGTTTCTCAAGGATAACAAAATTATCTGCTAAGCTGTAAACTACAGCCCTTACTTGCACATTACTACATTAAAGCTTAACAACAGAGCCTAGACTTTTAGGCTAAATGATAATAATCAACACTCAAATAACAAATTGAATGAAAACATGTAAACTGCACATAAGGCAATTTTTGCATTAACATGTTTTTACTCTAATTTGTTATTGTTATATAATAATTTACACAGTTGCTGTTATTTTCATGACAACTATTTAAAACATACATTAAATAATCAAGATATCATAAACAGGTTAAGTAAAATATAATATATAGGCTAATATATAGCATTTATTTAGTGAAAGAGTTAGCAAACCAGCAAGCTGTGGACACTGAATGACTTGCCTGAGGTAAATATAAAGCTATGTGAAAAACTAAGCGTTTTATTGACGTATTTCCGCTGTTGAAACACTGATTGAGTGTTTACACGAGTTATGATGCCTTTCAGTAAGTATACTGTATCTTTCAACATACCTTCGGGTGTCCATTCATGTTTATTCTGTAACTGAGGAAGAGATGATCGCGCTCCGCGCTGCCGCATGCATACAGTGATATCTGTCACGCCACATCTAAGAGCGCCAAAACGGCATTTATTGTTTGCATTTCGTGATCAAATAGACATAATTTGAAAGATTACAGCTTGCTTATTATCAAAAGTAACAAAACACTGAGCTTATTGCGATTATATGTGGTTAATGGTGGTTAGGCAACAGCCCCGTATTCGTTGTGTACACATAACGCATGAGGTGCAATGAGCCGGGGCTGGGCGGGGCAGCAGGGGGCGGGGCGTGTTCGGTTCGCCATGAGAGTATCGCGATACGTATCGTGGGTGGTGTATCGCGGTTTTTCGGTTCGGTTCAAATATCGTTACACCCCTAATGTTCACTGATTTTAATCCCATACTGTATTTGTAGCGATGTCGTGATGCGGTTTGATTAGATATGATGTTTAGCTTTGATGTTTTTAAGTAGTAAACGTATTCACGTTCAATTGCAAGAGAGTATAGCCTAAAAAAAGAACCCCTTCACACACACACACGCACGCACGCACCCTCGTCTCTCTCATGCGCCAGTCAGATCAATTGCGGCAATACATCACATATGCTTAAACTTTTATGTAGCCACGCAACAATAATTTCAGCATGCATTCTCTGTATACACCGCGACTTGATGGAGGAACAAATATTGTATTGCAGTCTTTGCGAGATCTTGTTCGTATGTCACGTCTTCCAAATAGTTACAGACAACAACAAAAAATGAAATTCCCCAACCTGCTTCTCCAAATCCACTCGTACTTTTGGGGAAGACATTTTAATCGGCTACCAAAGTAATTGAGCATAGAATATTGTTGGCACTTCTACTAAATGGGTAAAAATTGCAATAAATAGGCTTATGTTTGGAGCCAAATGTTGGAGTTGGAATAAATACCAGGTTTTTTTTAATAAATAAAAGCCAAATGCTTGATCATTTTACAGCCACATCATTTTCGTTATGCATTATTTGTTTTGGTTGTTTATAAACACAAAAAAGTGTTTTATCCGATTACTCGATTAATCGATCGATTAAGTGCTAGATTAATCGATTACAAAAAGAATCGATAGCTGCAGCCCTAGTGACTTCCTTCTTTCAGCCAAACACAATCGGAGTTATAGGAAGAAAATATCCAAGCTTTATAATACTATAATACAAGCTTTATCCAAGCTTTATAATGCTACCTTAGATTTTGATGCCCATCCATCATAAAATGTAATCCATACGGCTCCGGGGGGTTAATAAAGGCCTTCTGAAGAGAAGCGATGCGTTTTGTGAGAAAAATATCCATATTTATAACTTTATAAATTATAATCACTGGCTTCTGGTACGTGAGTCTAGTTCCGGTTGGAAGAGCGACCTCTGACCCAATAGCATAAGCTTAGGTGAAAGTAGACGCTTCTCGCGGTTCAAACTCAGTTAATATAAAAAAAAATATCCTGGCTCTTCCAAGCTTTATAATGAGAGTGAATGTGACCTCTTCTTTTTTTTAAGCCCAAAAAAGCACATCCATCTGTTTTTGTGAGAAAAATATTCATAGTTATAACTTTAAAAACTATAATCACTGGCTTCCGGTAACGGTCGTACGCGAGTCTAGTTCCGGCGGAAGAGTGACCTCTGACCTGACGCATGACGTAGGATGTAGGAGTGGTGTAAGCTTAAGATGGGGCCACACTAAAAAAATTTCAAAATGTGAGAGACCACAAACATGACGATAAGAAATCATAAATTTAACCGTTTTGTTCCTCTAGTGTGTGAAGTGCCATGATGTGATCAGGAAAGAACAACACACACACTAACAGATTCCGTTCACAAAGAGTCCAGCCTTTGAACACAGGAAACACTGCAAAATCTCCCGCATCAAACGTGACTTTAAAGTAAACAAACATGGCGGACGACAGGCAAGAAGAAATGGTGTATAGACTGCTTTTTACAGAAAATTTGTGGGGGGAAAAAAAGAAAACATATTTAATGAAGTCGTGGAGACGGTGTGAACATGAACTTTACCTGTCACAGTGCGAGCTGGTGGCGAGTCTTCCGTCAGCTCGCTTTCTGAATGGATATTGTTTCGTTTCACGTGATAATCTCCAGAGCTAATTTCTGATCGTACATATTCAACATGTTGTAGTGCTTACCCAGCATAAAGTGAGAGTAGATTCCTCTCCCGGTTCAAACTCAAGCTCCTCTCACATTTCTCTTTAAAATCATTCTCATTTTAGACTTCTAATTCGTTCCCATGTTTTATTTTGCTCTATCATTTTGCGCTTCCGCATTCGTCAATACATCGGGTCAAAGGTCACTCTTCTGCCGGAACTAGACCGTTGGTAACGCACAACGCAAATTTCATCCACCTAGAAATGTGATTCAAGAATGAATGTTTCTTTAACAAAAAGAGACATTTCTGCTGCTTGATCTAAAACATCGTTTTAAAAAACATTTAGATTCTTTCCTTATTTTGTGCCTTTGTGTTTTTGCTTGATTGAAAGGTCGTGTCCACGCTAAGAGGGCTTCGGGTGCCAAGCTGCTGTTCTATGACCTGCGAGGAGAAGGGGTCAAGCTGCAGGTCATGGCCAACTCCAGGTCGGATTTGCACTCTACGGCATCACGTTTCACAGGCATTTCACATTTTGACGTAATAACTTAACCTGTGTTTTGTTATTTATTCTTAGGAACTACAAATCAGAAGAAGATTTTGTGCACATTAACAACAAATTAAGGCGCGGGGACATCATTGGTGTCCGGGGGAACCCTGGCAAGACAAAGAAGGGCGAGTTGAGCATCCTCCCAGTGGAGATGACGCTGTTGTCTCCGTGCCTTCATATGCTTCCCCACCTTCACTTCGGCCTGAAAGACAAGGTAAAGACTAGTTCCTTTAAACTCTCTTTAGGTTTTACCCTTCGTTTTCAGCACACCCTTTGACTCTGGTATTTAGGGGTACAATTTAGTGCCAGTACAGCAGCACAGCAAAAACGAATATATGCAACTGACTGGGACTTAATATGCTTATTAAAAAGTTTGTATTACTTTTAAAAGAATATACTTAAAGGGCATATTGCAGGTTAGAGGACCCAACGAGTCAATGTATAGAAAAATAATGTAGGAACTAGATTTTCTTTAAAATATTCTTATAAATACGCTACAGAAGCTTCTGGAGTCGTTTTTGTGAGAGAATTTTACTTCCGCGTCTGAAAATGGGTGTGGCGGGCGTGACGTAACGGGCGGGAGAGCGGTCGATTCAAACAACAGGAAAACAATGGATCGCAATGACATTTCGGACGCTGAGGAAATACTTACTCGTATGACGGACCACAGACATACAATTATGAGCCTGCTATGCTGCCAAGAGAGCGGGGACAGGCCAGGATTAATGTTAGACAGAACGGTCAGAGACAAATTGAGTTGTGGTGTGAGGAGAACCAGTGGAGAACAGGACAGGTGTCTTGGTGAGAGACGTGGTTATAGATACACGTTCGCTAACGATATACACTGTGCTCACAATATTGGACAGATTATTACCATCATATATCAGGCCAGCAGACATTAGTATGTTTAGGGTAGATTTATACTATTAAATGTATAAAACCTATACTTGAGTGTGATTTTAGTAACTTACAATAGAAATATACTCAAGTACATTTTTAAAACATATTTTTCACCTGGGTTATAACATAAACAGAAAATTAAAGATTTTAATATTTAAACAACCTAGTAATTTTGTTTTTCAATTACAAGTTGCCTCTATTTAGGGCAGGGGTCGGCAACCCAAAATGTTGAAAGAGCCATTATTGGACCCAAAAAAATAATAATAATCTGTCTGGAGCCGCAAAAAAATTAAAAGCTTTATATAAGCCTTATAATGAAGGCAACACATGCTGTAAGTGTTATATTAGCTTTATTAGTATCAAAATGATAAGTAGGCTACAAATTAGAGCTTAGATCGGGCCCAAAAAATCAAGCCCGGCCCGGCCCGACACATTAAACGTAATTATGAGCCCGATCCCGATTTTAACCCGACCATTTTTTAATGCGTGGGTCGTTATAACTGACGTTCTCAACTTTCTTTCTCCCGCCCGCAACATTTATGTTTTGTCCCGCTCCCGCCCGCAAATACACTTTTTTCTGTACCTCCAAATACTTTCAAGTTAGCCTACGTGTCGCCACCATACATCCTCCTGATAAATTATTTGTTATTAAAGCATTAAAACACAAAAAACCCGTTAATTTAACATAAAAGCAAGCAGTTTACTGCGTGCATGGTTTGCCATGACTGAATGCGCGCTCTCTTAATAATTCCTAAAAAGCTGACAGTTCATCGCGATCTCACACATCTCTGTTATTATCAATGAAGCTGACTGCACAATGAATCTTTCATAATATCCACACTTTGTTCGTTATAATTAGAGGATTTGCCAGCATACAGAATTCAGCACTGAACAAAAACATCAGTTTTGAGCGGTGAGGGGAGTCTATCTTAAATGCTTCTGATTGGCCATTGCGTTCAAGAAATCAACAAATATGTCTGTGATTGGCTATATCGCTCAAAGCTGCGAACACGTTATGAATAGAAATTCTGGCCTGTAAATCGTTTCTATTTTGTTTTAGTACAGTGAGTGCATTACCGCCCGCGCCCGCGCTCGCACTTGGCCATCAAATCTAGTCCCGCGCCGCACTCTATTGCGTTGGGAGTGCTCAGCTATCTTTCTCTTTTTCCCCTTGGGATCCATGGCCCATGACACACCCGCCGGTTTTTTGTTTGTTTGTCAGCCACCGGTCTAGCATCACGCCGATCTGACTGACACGTGTGTCACAGTCTATGACGTAAATTCTTCGTTGACAGAAATGTTTAAATTAAATATTTATTATACACATTTTTACAACGTTGAAAAACTTTAAGAATATATGTAATGTTTTTCCTTTCCTCCTACAGAAATTATATTAAAACAAAAAATATTTCTTTCCATTTTCAAATTTTTGAAAAAGCTCCAGGGAGCCACTAGGGCGGCGCTTAAGAGCCGCATGCGGCTCTAGAGCCGCGGGTTGCCGACCTATGATTTAGGGCATGACTACCTATATCTATTTGATGCCATTGGTACAGTATAAGACGATCAATATTCTTGCTTCGGCATCCCATGTTAAACTCCATCATATCGCCGGGATGATAATCCTCCTTTCTGAAGTGAACGCTACACACGATCTGAAGTGAAAGCTACACACGACCGCGTTTCTCGAAGCCGATGCGGAAGAGAAATCCCGTCTCTTCACCTGCACACACCGCACCAGGCACGAAAGATATACAGCACCGTCCTTTTTCTTGTTATGGAAACCTGTGGAGTCGATGTCCTGACAGGCCGGAGTTTTTGCAACCTCCACAAACACAATAATTTACCATGACGATGATAGATTGAAATACAAAAACTACCTAAAACACACTGACTCACGGCCGCTCTCACTGAATACCAGCCTACTCTGCACTGAGCCGAGGCTGAGGCTCCCTAGCGTGACGTAAAATGACGCGATGTTGAAAAAAAAGACGTTTTTACGAGCAGTCCAAGAAACGCTCACTTTATCTACTAAGTTAGTGCCCTTATGTCGTTTTAAAATTTTTTAATATTGTATTTTCATACAAGGTTATATATTAATTTAGATTTTTTTTTACCTGCAATATGCTCTTTAAGTGCATGCAACTGAATGTAATGTTTTCAGACACATAATTGCATGTTAATTACATTTAAATTAAAGTTTATTATAGTTTAACTTCTTTAGTGCTTTTTTTTGTAGGACTTAAGAACATCTTTATGTAATTTCATATTTACTTCTATTGTCTTTGAAATATGCTAAATAATAATATGCTGACAAGCATTTATCAGTGTAATTTCTCTTAACTTGTTTGTCATGTATTTAATGATGTTGCAATTTAATACATCTAAAATAGGTCAACTTTAAATGTAAAATCAATAACACACTACTACACACTATTAAAATTATAATCACGTACTTTACATGTGCTTTAGTATGTTAGTCAACACATCAGAAGATTGACATAAGGTTATTAAAACAAGGATTTACTATAAAGTAAAAATGTTAAAGGGATAGTTCACCCAAAAATGAAAATTCTGTCAGTAGTTACTCGCCCTGATGTTGTTTCAACCCCGTAAGACTTTCGTTTCTCTTCGGAACACAAATTAAGATATTTTTGATTAAATCTGAGAGCTGGATCACTCCTCCATAGGCTTCTTAAGGGATCGAAACTGGCCGGCCCAAAAGTTATGAAAGACATCGTTAAAATAGTCCGAGTGACTACAGTGGCTCAATCTTTAAGTTTATCAAGCGACGAGAATACTTTTTGTGCGCAAAAAGCAAACAAAAATTACAACTTTATTCAACTATTCATTTCCTCCTCTGTACCGCCGTGATATTTCACGTAGTGAAACTACGCAAAGCTTCTAGGTTGTACGTCACACATCACACACCACACACATGACCAGCGTCGGCCAATAGTGAGCCTACGTGTGACGTGCAACCTAGAAGCTTTACGCAATATCCCGGCGGTACAGAGGAGGAAATGAATAGTTGACTAAAGTCGTTATTTTTGTTTATTTTTTGCGCACAAAAAGTATTCTCGTCGCTTGATAAACTTAAGATTGAGCCACTGTAGTCACTCGGACTATTTTAACAATGTCTTTCATAACTTTTGGGCCGGCCAGTTTCGATCCCTTAGAAGCCTATGGAGGAGTGATCCAGCTCTCAGATTTAATCAAAAATATCTTAATTTGTGTTCCGAAGATGAACGAAAGTCTTACGGGGTTGGAACAACATCAGGGTGAGTAACTACTGACGGAATTTTCATTTTTGGGTGAACTATCCCTTCAATTTGACATGATCTGCACTTTTAAAAGTCATAAAAGTGTACACTTAAGTGGCCTTTATTTCATTAAAGTGCTGTTTTTTGATAATATACTTTTAAGACATCAGTTAGTGCAATAGTAGTGCAAATAGTAGTGCAAAAACTGTGCAAAGACATTGACTTTCTCCCAGAGCTTTAGTGTTTACAAATCGACACAGTTGGCAGGAGATGCCCAAGTGCTCATTAGCAAATTCATCCGATGTGTTTGTGTGTGTGTGTGTGTGTGTGTTATGTAGTGCAATCACCGGAAGGATTTCATCTTTCCAAAATAAATAAAAAGCTGCATTTCATCTGTTCAATAGAGTAAAAACGGTTGATGGGGAAATTGTATTCCATTATTCATTTTGTATGCACACTCATCTGTTACTACGCAAGAGGCCAGTAGCATTTATTGATGATATTGCCAAATCGAATGCTTCATTCGTCATTCATGATGTCGCAGGTACTGATGTTTATTCATTGTTCCTTTAGGAAACCAGGTTCCGACAGCGATATCTGGACCTGATTCTTAATGACACCGTGCGACAGAAGTTTGTTACCCGTTCCAAGATTATCACTTATCTCCGCAGTTTTCTGGACCAGCTTGGGTTTCTTGAGGTAAGGATGACACAAGAGGGAGATCTCTGTAAAGAACAAGTGAAGTGCAGATTAGGGCTACACGATATATAGTTTTAGCATTGATATCACAGTGTGCATCCGTGATGTGCTGTGTTTTGCAGGATGTGCGATGTCATAGGGATTGTAGTTGATCTGCACTATGGTTCAATACGTGATTCAGGGATCAATTGCAAAGTTTAACCATCAAACAGTGGAAGTTTATCATCTGCACATGTTTTAGGTCCTGTCAGTTTAAACATTCAATCAATTTTGAACCATTAGAGCGCAAGAAGATGCGAAAGCGAACTCAATTCGGAACTTGTGTGCTGTTTTCTGTGCGCGCCGACAGCACACGAACACCGTCCTCTTTCACGTCTATATGTGCTTGAACGGACACATACATGCAAAATTGTTACGAGTATCCTCGTAAACACAGTTGCTTATTGCTCACGTGAATGTAAACAATTAAACGGAAACAAGAGAACAGATGCGTATCATTATATTGGATCCGTGCATTCAGTCTTAAAGTGACAGCAGCCTAATAAACCTGCTTCTGTCTGTCATTAATGTTAATCAAACAACAAAATGCAAAGAGAAAAACACTTGTGTAGCTTTATCAAAGATGAAATATTTTTCATTTATACAGTGAAGACTATGCAGTGTTATTTTTACATTTGAGTAGTCAATTTCCGTACCGGAATACTGTTAGACTTACCTGAAAACATAAAGCACTGTTTATTACATTTGTATCTTTGTTCTATTGTATTTATTCTTGCTTGTAATGTTTATTATGTTCTATGCATATTAGGGGTGTAACGGTACACAAAAAATCACGGTTCGGTACGTACCTCGGTTTTAAAGTCACGGTTCGGTACGTTTTCGATACAGCAAAAAGTAAGAAATGCCAGAGAAATTTCCTATTTGTTAAAAGAAACCATATTTTTTAAATAAGTGTGAGTTTTCCTACATCTTGAAACTTTCAGGTTTATAAATGGGTCTCATCTTTGAAGGATGAACAAATAATGTTTTGGTCATCACATTAAAAATAACATTTACATATATGAAGAGTTCAGATGCAAAAGCCATTTGAAATTTTCTTCTAGAATAATCATTTTTATCAAGCTTGTATATTTAAGTTCAGTAATTTCACTTAAATGGCAATGAAGATTACCTATTAATTGTCATTTGAGTGAAATTACTGAACTTAAATATACAAGCTTCATAAAAATGATCATTCTAGAAGAAAATTTCAAATGGCACTTAGAGGCTTTTGCATCTGAACTCTTCATATATTTATTTATATAATATTTGAGTTTGAAGTGCTGGAAAAAGATGTGTGAAGTACTTGAAAGCATTTCACTATTCCAGACAAACTGGTTACATTTAGTGTTACTATATTGAATCCATGGTGAATGTTGCTGGTCTGTGGACGTAAAGTATTACTAGTTCATTCACGGCACAATATTTCTCCTGGTGTCCACGTCAGCGCTGTTTGATCTAATAGAGATCTACGGTTAATAACGGAGAAATGTGAATGCTTCTCACTAGATCTCGCAGCGATGTTATTACTTCAGTGGCGAATTCAAATGTTTTCTTTACTGGATCTTAGCGCTGTGTTGTAACAGTGTCGCTTGATCAAGATCGGCTCGCGCTGCACAGATGTTGCTGGTCCGAACTGATAAATGGTCCGTTAAGCACTATATAATGAGTAGCGCAGTTTCGTTCCGCTTTCATTACACTTGCCATTTGATGTTGCGCAACGTTGTGGTGGTTGCGCCAGCGCGAATTTTTTTCGGCAGGAAAAATGGTCCAAGGAATCGTTCGGTTTGTATGCGTACCGAACCGGAAGCCTCGAACCGAAACGGTTCAATACGAATACATGTACCATTACACCCCTAATGCATATTCCCTCCCCTTCAAAATCACCACAATCATTCTAGAATGCCTAATTTCACTAGATGACTTGAATAGCTCTATTTGGAAAGAATTGTTTTCATATCGCTATATATATATATATATATATATATATATAACTGAAAAACAAAAAATCGCAATGTCACTTTTTTCCAATATCGTGCAGATTGAGATGGTCTGCTGAGAAAGTTTCTTCAATTGCTCCATGTTTTACTGGTTGCCATTTATGATGTGTTTTACAGATTGAAACACCAATGATGAATCTGATACCTGGTGGAGCTGTAGCAAAACCTTTTATCACCCACCACAATGAGCTCAATATGAACCTCTATATGAGAATTGCTCCTGAGCTTTACCATAAGGTAAATGTGTCACTGCAGCAGCTGTTCAGATTTGAAATGTTGAAGTTCTTGAGTTATATTGGATATCTAACCTTCATCAATGTTTCAGATGCTGGTAGTCGGTGGAATCGACCGTGTGTATGAGATCGGGCGTCAGTTCCGTAATGAAGGCATCGATCTCACCCACAACCCTGAGTTCACCACATGCGAGTTCTACATGGCTTATGCGGACTATCATGACCTGATGGAAATCACAGAGAAGCTTCTCTCAGGTTTGTTAGGCTACGTTCACATTGCAGACAGAAGTGGGCCAAATCCAATTTATTTTGCTCATGTGACTCCGATCTGATATTTACCATTCTGATTTGGGCCACTTCCATATGTGGTCCTAATTCTGATACAGGTCTGATGTTTTACAAAGCGACCTCAGTCTGAACAGTCACTGAATTTATCTGACTTTTACGTCACTCTAGATCAACATTTAGTCAGTATTTCTCAACTCTAGTAGTTCTTTGAATATGGAAGACTCAGTGGAGGCCAAGGAACGGAGTTATAAGCTTAAATATTAAGGTGACCGCTCTATACAAGCAAAACTTAAGGAAAAACTACAAGAAAAACATTGCTCTCTTCCTCCTCGTCTGCGTCGTCAGATCACCTTCGCACAAATTCGCTGTCTTCCGTGGCACATAACCGTATAAGTGAACGCATAAATGCTGACTTCAGTAACCTCTGTGTTTACTTTAATATGACAGTACTTGTTCAAATTGCATTGAGGAAAAATAAACAGATAAGTGACATCAGAGTATAAGTCACATTTTATTATTACATTCTGAAATGTAAAATATATAAAACGAAATGTTTACAGACATTATTAACACTATAAATGTTCCTCTCACTCAGAATATCCTTTAAATGTAACGGTATTCAGAAATGAACTGAATCTTTGAGATTCAAAAATCTCTCAGGTTTCAAAAAATATATATCTTCATCAGTGTTAAGATAAAGGGAAGTCTTGTGGGTTTTGAAACGACTTGCGTGCAAGTAATTGCTCATTTTTGGGTTATTTAAATCTTTTAACATGAATATTTTGACGTCAGTAGTATTTGAACTACCATAATTCTGTAAGTTCATGATTTAAAGGGATAGTTCACCCAAAAATGAAAAATCTATAATCCTTTACTCGATCTCTGGCCATCACAGAGTTATGACTTTCTTTCATGAGATAAACACAAGTGAATTGGTGCCAAGTGACAAACCACACACAGCGGACATGACCGTAATCCATTCGACCCCAGTGGATGAATCATTGTCTTCTAAAGTGAAATGTTAGATGTGTGTAAGAAAAATACTAATGTTTTTAACTTTAACGGTTTTAACTATTAATCATTGCTTACGGTCTACTGTAATACGAGCGTTCATGAGAGGGAAGTTGTGACACGTGAAGAAGACATTGATTCACTGGGGTCGTATGGGTCACTACACCCATTCACTGTGTGTGTGATCCCACACGCGGCACCCATTCACATGCATTATATGGACACACAGAGATGGATTATTTTCCTAAAAATCTTTCTTTGTTTTTATCTGAAGAAAGAGTCATATACATCGGAGATGGCATGAGGGTTAGTAAATGATGAGAGAATTGTAATTTTTAGGTGAACTATCCCTTCATTTATATAACGTGTCTGAAAACACCAAGTGACGTTTCTTTGGTGCTTTCACAGGAATGGTGAAGCACATTACCGGAGGCTATAAGGTGACGTATCATCCTGATGGTCCAGAAGGACAGGCCCAAGAAATAGACTTCACTCCTCCCTTCAGACGGATCAGCATGACTCGAGACCTGGAGAAGGAATTGGGAGTGAAGTTTCCAGCTCCTGACACCTACGACAGTGATGGTGAGGGTTACAGTCAATAAGAGCACAGAGAAGAGCTGTTCAATCACTACATGAAAATTACTTGACATAATCGAACATGGGCGGTGGAGCTTTACTCAAAACTCATGTTTTTTTTTACAGAAACACGCAAATTCTTAGACGACCTTTGTGCTCAGAAAGAAGTTGAATGCCCTCCTCCTAGGACGACTGCTCGTCTTCTTGATAAGGTATGATCTTCTGGCCAAAAACTGACACTATCATAGAAATGCGATGGAAAAGAGCTCGGGGAAACGGATTCACTAAACATTCTTTAGATAAAATTCTGCTATTTTTTTATTTTCTTACTTGAATATAAAGTTAAGAATGCTTTGTATTCCCAAAAACATTTTTTAAGATTGATCTAAAGACAAAACTTTATAAAGTTTTTAAAAATCATTGTAAATAACCTCGCAAGCTTAGGATAACCTCCAACTTGTCTTAGATTCCCAAAGATAACCTGTTTAATACATTTTAAATAAAGGGATGGTTCACCCAAAAAATTTTATTTTGTCATCACTCACCCTCAAGTTGTTCCAAACCTGAGTGAGTTGTTCTTTTGCTGAACACAAAAGAAGATATTTTGAGGAATGTCAGTAATGAATTGAAGATTTTGCGTATTGATACGCATTCCATTTTCTTTCTCAATTGTTTACATTCAATACATAAACTATAATAGCCTATAAGCACCTTTCTCGAGGTTAACGGCCATGTTAGGTGGCTAAAATGAAGGCTACTACTTGCATGTTTTAAATAAGTCATGTTTGAGGTCATGCGTCACCTTTTTCTTTACCCTATCAATATTCCCACACTTTGGATTTCCTGTCCGACATTCCTGCATGGACCAGCCGTGTTAACCATCTGTCCAGAGAAATTGTACATTTCTCACAAAAATATGTATTAACACCAAAAGAACTCAATATCATAAACAACAGTTGGGTTATTTACAAAAGATGTGTACTTTGTTGTTTGTGTTCATCAACATGTACACATTTTAAACTGATTTTGCCATATTGTTGTTGATTTTTCCATGTAGTTGGTGGGAGACTACCTGGAGGTGAAGTGCATGAACCCAACATTCATCTGTGATCATCCACAGATCATGAGTCCTCTAGCAAAAGGGTATGTGCCTGACTTTGATTTCTAGTTTTTCACTAGTTAATTTGTAATATTGTTACTGCATCGGAATGGTACGTAACTTGATGACTTTTGTGGCAGTCGCTATGTGACCACCAAAAAAAAGTATGGAGCTAAGTGGTCGTTTAAAAAAAAAAAAAAAAACACCTCACACTTGTTTTGTTCACGGTCAAAAATGTCCGCCATAGGAAATTAATGAGAAATGCGCAAAGATTAGGGGTGTAACGATACACAAACCTGACGGTTCGGTTCGTCCCACGGTTTTGAGGTCTCGGTTCGGTTCGGTTCATTTCGGTGGGGTGGGTGGGGGGGGGGGGGGGGGGGGGGGTTAGAAAGCTAAAATTGCTTTTATTTTTTATTAAACAGTGCTTTAATGAACAAATTGTGTCCTTGTCTTTAAATTAATTCAATTACAAGTAAACGTTTCTCAAGGATAACAAAATTATCTGCTAATGCTGTAAACTACAGCCCTTACTTGCACATTACTATAACATTAAAGCTTAACAACAGAGCCTAGACTTTTAACCTAAATTATATAATAATAATCAACACTCAAATAACAAATTGTATGAAAACATGTAAACTGCACATAAGGCAATTTTTGCATTAACATGTTTTTACTCTAATTTGTTATTGTCATATAATAATTTACACAGTTGCTGTTATTTTCATGACAACTATTTTAAACATACATTAAATAATCAAGATATCATAAACAGGTTAAGTAAAATATAATATATAGGCTAATATATAGCATTTATTTAGTGAAAGAGTTAGCAAACCAGCAAGCTGTGGACACTGAATGACTTGCCTGAGGTAAATATAAAGCTATGTGAAAAACTAAGCGTTTTATTGACGTATTTCCGCTGTTGAAACACTGATTGAGTGTTTACACAAGTTATGATGCCTTTCAGTAAGTATACTGTATCTTTCAACATACCTTCGGGTGTCCATTCATGTTTATTCTGTAACTGAGGAAGAGATGATCGCGCTCCGCGCTGCCGCATGCCATGCATACAGTGATATCTGTCACGCCACATCTAAGAGCGCCAAAACGGCATTTATTGTTTGCATTTCGTGATCAAATAGACATAATTTGAAAGATTACACCTTGCTTATTATCAAAAGTAACAAAACACTGAGCTTATTGCGATTATATGTGGTTAATGGTGGTTAGGCAACAGCCCCGTATTCGTTGTGTACACATAACGCATGAGGTGCAATGAGCCGGGGCTGGGCGGGGCCGCAGGGGGCGGGGCGTGTTCGGTTCGCCATGAGAGTATCGCGATACGTATCGTAGGTGGTGTATCGCGGTTTTTCGGTTCGGTTCAAATATCGTTACACCCCTAGCAAAGATACGAAAATACAGATAATATTTTGTGTACAATCTACAAATAATTCACTATGCAGAAAAAAGTTCACAGCAAAGAGGGGTGAAACTCTAAAATATCAAGAGTGCAAAATAGACCAAATGTCTTTATCTGTGTTCAGGTTTGACTAGTAAAATTAATGCAAAAACACTTCAAACCAACATTTCAAACTAAATCTAAACCTTTACAAAGTTGTCTTTGAGAAGTCTAAATGTATATCCAAATCCACAACTTAATAAAGAATAAGTATTTGTCTAAAAACAACTTTTATAAGCCTTTTTAAATGGAGCTATATAGGAATCTAATGGTTAAAAAAATGACATTACAGAACTCCCACTGGATGGCACTAATATGCCTTCAAAAAAAATATTTGAAAGGCAGTGTCTCTATTAAATGCTGCTTTAATTGAAAATAATTAAAAAAAAAGAAATTGTGGAACATTTTTTTATTTTATTATATTCAATGGAAAAAAAAGTATCATAATTATCACATTAATATCAATTAGTACCATGAAATTCTCTCAAAATACAAAGAAAAAAAGAAAAAATATTACTGAACAAAAATATACTACATTTATTTTACTGAAAATAGTTCCATTTGGAGCTGAACTCCTCTGGACAGGTTTGGACACCCCTGATCAAACACATTCAGCTGATGTATTTTCTGTCTCTCCTCCTCAGGCACAGATCACAGAAAGGTCTGACTGAGCGCTTTGAACTCTTTGTGATGAAGAAGGAGATCTGCAATGCCTACACAGAGTTGAACGATCCTGTCAGACAACGAGAACTGTTCGAGCAGCAGGCTAAGGTGAAGCTAAACTCCGCTACATACCTAATTTTCTGTGTTAATCTTGTCCTGAAGTTTAATTTCGGGGGACTTTCTCAGTTTTCAAATTTTGTCCTTAAAAATATCAAACTATTGCAAAAATTCCAATCACTTGCCGTTGGCTCTGGTGGTTTGTGTTGATGCACTGTATTTGCATGGCTATTGTAATTATATTGAGACGTATACTAATTTTAATAAAAAATAATTTATTTTGCATTCACGTTAGACCAGTGTTTCTCAACCTCTCCTGCAGGGACCCCCTGACAGGCCATGTTTCTGTTTTAACCCTGAAATGGCACACCTGATTCAAGTCATTAAAGGCTTAATGAGTAGTTGACTAATTGATTAATTGAACTATTCCTACTCTAATTACTCATTAAGCCTTTAATTACTTGAATCAGGTGTGCCATTTCAGAGTTAAAACAAAAACATGGCCTGTCAGGGGGTCCCTGCAGGAGAGGTTGAGAAACACTGCGTTAGACCAATTACATTTAGTATTTTCATGATATCTGTATCATGTACGTTACCATTCAAAGGTTGGGGGTAAGATTTTGCTTTAAAGAAATTAATACTTTTCGGTAAGGATGCATTAAATTAAAGGGGTGGTTGATTATGATTTCACTTTTTTAACTTTAGTTAGTGTGTAATGTTGCTGTTTGAGCATAAACAACATCTGCAAAGTTCAAAGCAAAGGGAAATATTTTCTTTTAAAGAAATTGCTTTTTAAGGACTACAACAAACTGCTGGTAGGGACTACACGACATTCCTCCCGGGTTAGTGACATCACGAACCCTAAAATTTACATAAACCCTGCCCCCGGAACGCGATTTATACACTCACCGGCCACTTTATTAGGTACACCTGTCCAACTGCTCGTTAACACTTAATTTCTAAGCAGCCAATCACATGGCGGCAACTCAGTGCATTTAGGCATGTAGACATGGTCAAGACAATCTCCTGCAGTTCAAACCGAGCATCAGTATGGGGAAGAAAGTTGATTTGAGTGACTTTGAACGTGGCATGATTGTTGGTGCCAGAAGGGCTGGTCTGAGTATTTCAGAAACTGCTAATCTACTGGGATTTTCACGCACAACCATCTCTAGGGTTTACAGAGAATGGTCCGAAAAAGAAAAAACATCCAGTGAGCGGCAGTTCTGTGGGCGGAAATGCCTTGTTGACAGTGTTGAGCATGTTACTTAAAAAAAGTAATTAGTTATAGTTACTAGTTACTTCTCACAAATAGTAACTGAGTTAGTAACTGAGTTACATCATTATAAAAGTAACTAATTACCAAAGAAAGTAACTATTGCGTTACTTAAAAAAAAAAAAAAAATCAAATAGGCCTATGTCAAATAATTTGGATGCCCCCAGTATTAAATATGTTAAATTAATGAAATGGACACTTAATAGTGTAGATTAGTGTTCAATGTTTTATAATAATAATTTATACTATTTTAATGTTGCTGTGGGACAATGTGAGAGACGCCTATTAAATTCAATATATTATTCTAAATATTAGCATTACTATAGTAGAACAATAAAACATTATAGATGGTTTACTTAATATCGCACAGACCCCAACTGGCCAACAAATAAGTTTAAAAATAAATTATGCTTCTTAAGAAATGTACCAAAAATGAATAAATAATAATAAAAAATATGCATACTCTTTGTGCATATTAAAATGATAAAACTGTTACACAACTTCACAACTAGTAGACATACTGTAGCCTGAGTATTTTCTTCCTAACAAAAGTAAACAGTTTAACAAGTGCTCTCTTAATATAATACTGAACAATTTACCAAAAAAAAAATATATATAATACTAAAATATAATATTTTGGGGGTTTATTTTTATAATAGCGAACGTCATCATCAGAGATTATTTAAGCCAAATTCTAGACATGTTTGCCGCACGTGTTTACAACCGGTCAAACAAATATGTTTTCTGTGAATGTTCCCTGCAGGTTATTTTCGGGTTTATTTTATAACCTAAACAGAACGTTACCTGACGGTAATTTTTTAGATTTTACTTGTATAACCCTGTAAATTAATTAACGTTGCAGATATGTGTCATTTATTTATAAACAAACTATATAATGCTCGGAGTCGGACACCCTCGGTCTCTCTTGCGCAACTGTTGAGCGCGCTCTCGGACACATTCGGTCTCTCTCGCGCATTGAGCGCGCTCGCGCCAATCGCTTCGCTTTTGTCCACTCCGGCGCCTCATAAACACACACACACACACACACCAGAGAAAAAAACTTTGCAGGTCCTATGGCGGAGAGAGAGCCTACTCGGATGAAAGCCGCTTCAGTGAGTTCAATTATAGTAACGCCACATTTTTTTTGTCAGTAACGGTAACTGCGTTGTAACGGGGGAAACAGTAATTCGTTTGATTACTCGTTACTGAAAAAGATAACGCCGTTAGTAACGCCGTTTATTTATAACGCCGTTATTCCCATCACTGCTTGTTGATGCCAGAGGTCAGAGGAGAATGGCCAGACTGGTTCGAGCTGATAGAAGGGCAACAGTGACTGAAATAACCACTCGTTACAACCGAGGTATGCAGCAAAGCATGTGTGAAGCCACCACACGCACAACCTTGAGGCGGATGGGCTACAACAGCAGAAGACTCCACCGGGTACCACTCATCTCCACTACAAATAGGAAAAAGAGGCTACAATTTGCAAGAGCTCACCAAAATTGAACAGTTGAAGACTGGAAAAATGTTGCCTGGTCTGATGAGTCTCGATTTCTGTTGAGACATTCAGATGTTAGAGTCAGAATTTGGCATAAACAGAATGAGAACATGGAACCATCATGCCTTGTTACCACTGTGCAGGCTGGTGGTGGTGGTGTAATGGTGTGGGGGATGTTTTCCTGGCACACTTTAGGCCCCTTAGTGCCAATTGGGCATCGTTTAAATGCCACGGCCTACCTGAGCATTGTTTCTGACCATGTCCATCCCTTTATGGCCACCATGTACCCATCCTCTGATGGCTACTTCCACCATGTCACAAAGCTCTAATCATTTCAAATTGGTTTCTTGAACATGACAATGAGTTCACTGTACTAAAATGGCCTCCACAGTCACCAGATCTCAACCCAAAAGAGCATCTTTGGGATGTGGTGGAACGGGAGATTCGCATCATGGATGTGCAGCCGACAAATCTGCGGCAACTGTGTGATGCCATCATGTCAATATGGACCAAACTCCCTGAGGAATGCTTCCAGCACCTTGTTGAATCTATGCCACGAAGAATTGAGGCAGTTCTGAAGGCAAAAGGGGGTCCAACCCGTTACTAGCATGGGGTACCTAATAAAGTGGCCGGTGAGTGTAGATCATCATGACAGAATGTGTTAATCAAGGACTCGAAGATAACTACACATAAGCTACTAACCATTCAGAAATGTCCTGTTGCATTCTACATATTGTCACTTCTTCTTGAGTCTCTCCATCATTGTCTGACTCCGGTTTGTCTTGGCCAGGACGCTCTTGGAAAAGAGATTTTTAATCTCAGTGAGTTTTCTTTCTGGTTAAATAAAGGTAATATATACATCAAATCCTCAGACATCGTCCTGTCAGTCATTTCTCCCTACTATATTCACGTGATGTACTGTACACAGCAGCAAGCCTAACTTGTCCTTCGAATTCAGAATTGGCTTCGGGCACATCACTAACAAGCTGCTTTGGTTAGAAAGTAACCTCCAGGTGAATGAATGTTCATATTTTGTCCACAGGCCAAGGCAGAAGGTGACGATGAGGCGATGTTCATTGATGAGACCTTCTGCACTGCCTTGGAGTACGGGCTTCCACCCACGGCAGGATGGGGCATGGGCATCGACCGGCTCACCATGTTCCTCACAGACTCCAACAACATCAAGGTATGACCCACCATGACACCTTTTCATTAGAACTGTAGCCCTGTAAATAAATCAAGTCAAAGATGATTCTGTGGATAGTTTGACATTAAAACTCGGTCTGATATGAATTGATGTGCTCTACTTCAGGAGGTGCTTCTCTTCCCTGCTATGAAACCTGAAGATAATAAAGCAGCTTCACCTGCAGAGGGCACATCAGTGTAACTCTGAGGAAAACACACCTGAGGATTTCATCCATCTCTGGATTTCTTGATTCAGCCTGAACTGTCCAATTTATTGTCACTGTTGAGGGTTATAGCCTGAATATTCAAGACCTATGCACTGTTCATAATGAAAGGAAGGATTTCAGCAGTTATTTTAACATGCGGCTCACAGTTGTATGGGGAATAGGAACCCTGTTTTCTTTTCTCTGTTGCCCGTTGTCGATTTCCCGCAGTTTTGTGGCCTGGGGTGATTAAACAAGATGTTTCTCAGACATATTTGGATGTTTTATGATCTTCTGTCCAACTGTATTTTTTAACGATGGCTGTTCAATTGAATCCCATTAAATAATGACTTATACAACCCAAACGGTTTGTTTGTTTGTTTCTATTTCACAGATTGACGTCATCTCATCTTAGTTTTCTCTCCTTTTTTCTCAATTTGCTCAAAATATATGCTATTTTAAAGCAGTTTTGTAATGGTAGTTGTCATAATTTGCAAGTTTGTTGAAATCTAACTAGGGCCTGGTTTCACAAACAGGGCTTAGATAAGCCAGGATTAGGGCTTAGGCAAATTTAAGTTGCTTTTATAAACTTCATAAACAATATTGGTGTGCTGTGCAGCTCGTGACAAAACAATGGCACTGATATATTTTAAGACATGTCAGTGCAAGTTGCTTACAGGTAAAACAGCTCAAACATGCATTTTAGTCTGGGACTAGTTTAAGCCTCGTTTGTGAAACCGGGGGGAAATTTCCCAACACAACTGACTCCAAGTATGAATGTCATTGCATTAGACAGCAAAACATCAAGTGTATTTTATAGAATGAATACAATATTTGATATTTTAATATAATCAGAACATTTTACTGTTTTATAAAACTATTATTTATACAATATGCTTAAGTAATATGACACTTTGGATTGTCAAACGTTAGTGGACCATGTTTAATTTGATGAAAAACACCTGTGGTTACAGACAGGTGTGACTTTAGACATGCAGTGAGAATCACCAGTTGATTAAAAGTAATTGGAAAAAATGTCTAAGAAGAGAAAAGGTGTAGCTTTCTAGTTTGCAGATGTCACTTGGTTTGATATATGTATATATGGCTTAAATATCCACATATTTTAGGGGCCCCTCTAAAGAAACTCTTATGTATTTTGTACATGAACGTGTTTCAAAATCAAGGGATTTGATTCTACTTACTGTGCTACACACATCATTTTGCTTTCGTAATGCTTGGACTTTGTATAATGGCTCGTTTAGTCTGTGCCAATGTTCTTGTCGTTATCGATATCTCTGTTCTCAGTCTAACTTATCAGCACCGTGAGGTCCCTGGTTTAGCGTGAGCGCGCTTCTCGCCTCTGTCGCGCGCCTCTCGCTCGGTCAAGTGCATCAGGCTGGTATTATTCATGTGTGAAGCCCAGACTCGGTGAAGATGGCGATGTGTGCGGCGCTCAGATGCGTTTCGACAAACTTTTCGGCAGCATTGCCCCTGCTCTCGAGACCTGCACATATCTGGACGTGCCAAAATTCGCTAAGACCAAACATCTTAAGGACGCTTTACACGAGCTCGCGGCTTTCGGGAGGTAAAAACTTTACTGAACTCACGGTTCCCACGTTTTACATCTCACATTTAGCTTTTCCGTGAGGACTGCAGCCATTCCTGTTTGCGTTTTTGGTCTTTTCAATAGCTTTAACGTGCTGGAATCTAATGTGTGCTTATCAACTGAGATTGAACGTTCGTTAACTTACATTGGAATTTTGGTGGTTCGTTTGTTACGTCATGAATGTCTTGTACGTTTTATTCGTAAGTTAACGTTACTTGTCGGATTCGATTTTCGAACTCTTCCGTTTCACTGGTCTCTTTATTTTTTAAGACTTTTTCGTTATTCCATCTTTTTTTTAGTATTCTTATTTAAAGCGCACAGATTTATTTACTTAGTCCGTGTAAGGTCTATGTAATTTTTGCTGACGCTTGCATCGGATCAAACTCGTCATGCACCAATTTTTTCGCTTCAGTATAATCATGTGGTCATGAGATTTTAAAATGTGGCTATTTAAAGTTAAGACTGCATCTCGTGCCTGTGGAGTTTGATTAGAGGCCCCTGACTCCACATTATATCTCACCGAAATCTGTCATTGACTAATCTGTGTGTGTAATGTGTATATGAAATTACACCCATGCATCACCTCCTTATGTTCCCTCAAGATCAGAAATAACAACAGGAGTGTTTTGCATAAAGCCCAGCCATGCTCCAGCATTCAGCCCTGCTCACAATCTGGTTTAAACCTGTATTGTTTCTGCATGGGCAGATGCTAGAATCTGACTCAGTTGAGGCATTACCCCTCTGGGAGTCCTCAGCACTGGTTCATTGGTGTGCCAGACTATTTTCCTTAATATGCAGTTTATATTATTTTTATTTCAAATTATGACTGCTTGCTTTCTGAATCAGGTCCTGTGCAAGGGTTATTGAGGCATCCTGACATATTTGTTCATACGGAAGTGGATGTTTAATGTGAATCACTTTATTTATCATGTGAATTTAATTTTGTAGCTTTCTTGTACAGAAACCCATGAATGGGTATTTAAGAAACCTGTTTGAAAGGCAGTTATTTTGCAATTGCCTGGCACAGATTCCGCATGCCCTAACGTGACCTTTTTACTGTTGCTTCCACCCCTAGTGACTCCGTCATGTTCAGTGCAATGGAATGAGAAGGTAGTTTCAGAGTTCGAATCATTTAGAAAACACAATGCAGTGAAATGGAGAGACTGATCTGGAAATAATTAATGCATCGTTAGCCTCATGGAGTTCAAATGGTCAACTATTATCAGTCAGGAAGTTAATATTTATATATAATAATTGGCCTTGGAAAAAAAAAGTGACAGTGTTTAAAGTAATAGCAAATAATGATTCTCGTGTCATTCCAACCCCATATGACTGACACACACATACAAAGCAGTTTTGTAGTTTACATGGAAACAATGCTATAATTTTCAAGAACTTGCCTTTTTAAAACCTGTTTTTAAAGTTTGCCTTTTCAGGCCCCCGAAACAGTGTTATCGTGTAAATAAACAGCCAAAATGCATTTAGTTGAAACCAGTGTTGTCTAAACGACCCCTTACTGAAATGTACCACTGGACATTTGAAAGGCCCGTTCTTTGTAATTGCATGAAAAAGAATCAGTACATTATTCAAAATGTCCTCATTTTGTCTTCCACAGTAGAAAAAAGTCACAAGTCATGTTTATAACAATGTTATTACTATTTTGACAACTATTCAAAATTGGATTTGGGGATTGAAATAAAGCTGAAATAAAGTATTTGATGAAAAACATTTTAATTAAATGTTGAAACGTTGCCTTGGGAATAAAATACTGAAATTACGGACACTGAAATTAAAATAAATTAAAGCTATAGAAATATGTATTTTTTAAATGACAAAAGCACAAACTAAAGTTGAAGTGAAAAATAAATTGATAAATACTAGTATAAAAATAATACTATAACACTATGTGAGAGTGAGTAATTGACATTGACACTTTAACCGAAGCCATTTGAAGGTTAGCAACAAACAAAGAAATCATAACGCCTGCTAATGGAAGGAGACCATAGGCTGACTTTTATTGAATGGATGTCAATGGAGGAGAGGCTTCACTGCGCTGAATAAACCGCTTTTGTGGGAGAACGGCTTATTTAATGAATCGACAGTCCTTTGGCTGATCTTCAACATGTTTGCTCTTAAACATTCGTTTTGAATTGATATATTTAAAGTGTTTACACTGAAAAAAATGCTGTTTTAGAAGAAAAGTCACACATAATTGCATGCCAGGTATGATTCAGTTTACGCCACTTCTCATTCATGGTATCTACAAACAGTGATTGACTGTCGCACAACTCTGATCGAAATTCAGTGACGTCAAGACTGCCATGTGATTGGTTATCAAGGCACACGTGATCCAAGTTAGCCGTTACACTTTCTCCAATGGTAGAGCCACGGACCCTCCCTCCCAATAATAAGACCATCTCTGCTTTAACTAATTGTTCTGTTTATCTTGATCTTTTTATGATTCAAATTCTCTTTATTAATCAAATTGTCTTGTGTTTACAGCTCTGAAGTTTACAGACAAACACGAGTGGGTGCGAGTGGAGGGCGGTGTGGGTACAGTCGGCATCAGCAACTTTGCTCAGGTTTGCTCCCCTCTATAAAGAAATGGGTGTTAAGACATGGTGTCGGTTCAGTGTCAAATGTGTTATCCTTATTTTTACACTTTTTACTGCTGAAACGGTATGAACCCTGTTACCTCTCACTGTCCCACCAGTGGGGCGTTTGCCATTATATATAATATCTTAGTCTAAACCTACACCAATCTTGACAAACTATATATACAATTTTTGAAACAAATGCCAGAGCAACAGTAATTTATTAATTTGCAACAAGAATATTCATCAGTGTCACAAGGTGTGTTCAGACCTTTTTGAAATGGCGATGCACTTAAAAAATCTTTTTTTTTTTTTTATATTAAGTAAAACAGATCAGTTTTCCATTTGTGATGAGGCGGCGAGGGTTCTTTCCCCGCAAGTCTTTTATGTTAGTTAGGCCATGTTCAGACTGCCAGCAAAATTAGATTTTTTGCATATCCAGATCTTATCCAGATGGGTTTTTGATAGTCTGGACAGCAAAAAAACACACACATGGAATCAGATTTGTAAAACCACATTTGGAGGTGGTTTGAAATGCGATTCCAATCAGATTTTTACAGATGCGTCTCTGTCTGGACAGTGCACTCTGGCTGCTCAATCGGGGTTTCATATTGTCTTTTGCGTCACTCATCAAAACTGCTGACGGAAATACAGGATATTCATACCATGTATACCAGTCTCCTCCACACAAATCTTATTTGATCATTAGCAATAGTTGGAGAAAAAAAATCTGATTTGCCTGCAGTCTGAACATAAAGGCTTAGAGGTTGAATTCAACTCAAAAACTGCCCATACTGCTTCTGAATAGGAGGTTTACTTCATAAATATTGTGAAAAATATGGTTCATATCACTCTAACCATATATGGAAATGTGCGCGTCCACCAATGTTGCCTGGATGTCATCTAGTGGAAATGTTTGGTATTGCGCCCACACAAAATCTTACTGAAAGCTGGTTGTTCGAGATATCAACCCAGATTTATGGTTTTGATTTTCTTGCAGTTTTAAAGTTGAACATGTTTTGTAATATATATATATATATATATATATATATTTTAAATAAAATATAAAAAAAGGTTTACATTTTCGTGTAAACTTAAACTTCTTTAACTACATTATTCTGCCAAACTTAAGTCTGTGCTTCAAAGTATTCAAGAGTTATAACAATTTAAGTTAGAAATGTCATTTTCGGTTGGGCTCGGGTACGGTACGCATGCAGTGAGAGAGTACACCCTTACTTTCATAATGTAATGCATTTCCAAGTAAAATATTCAGTAAGTAGGAGGGGAGAGAGGGGTTGAAACATAACCATAGTTGAGGGTTCAGTTTTAAAGTCATACTGTTGTTTTACATTGATGTTATTGCAATATTTTCTTTTCATGGAGTTCTCAAGTTTAGTTAAAGGGAAAATTCTGTCAGTAATTACTCACCTTCATGTCGTTCCAAACCCGTAAGACTTTCCTTCATCTTCAGAACAAAAATGGAGATCTTCTTTATGAAATCTGAGAGATTTCTGTCCCTCCATTGACAGCTACGCAACTACCACTTTGACGCTTCAAAAAGTTCATAAAGAGATCGTAAAACTAATCCATGTGAATTTAGCGATTTACACATTTTCTGAAGAGACAGTCGCGTTATATGATGAAGATGAACGAAAGTCTTACGTGTTTGGAACGACATGAGGGATAGTTTTTATTTTTGGGTGAACTATCCCTTTAATGGTCTTCCTCCTAAATGTACTTATTCTTTCACCATAGGAAGCTTTAGGTGACGTGGTGTACTGTGGGCTTCCAGAAGTGGGAACAAAGCTTGAACAAATAGGTGAGAATCATTTGAAATCTCCATCTTTTGCCTTTTGCCTGTTACAGCACACACAACACGGATTGTATTTCTTTCCCAGAGGAGTTTGGCGTTTTAGAAAGCGTCAAAGCTGCTAGTGAGCTGTATTCTCCACTGACTGGAGAGGTGACCGAAATCAACACAGATCTGGCAGATAACCCTGCACTAGTAAATAAAGCCTGCTACGAAGACGGTGAGTGCAGCTGAGTTCACCAAATACTTCACATGCATGTATGATATACTGCTAAAACATTCCTTTCTCCTTGAAGGATGGTTAATTAAGATGACCATAGAGAAACCTGCAGAACTTGATCAACTCATGGATGAAGCTGCTTATGAAAAATTCATCAAATCCCTTGATTCATAAAGGTTTTCAGACCTTTTGTTCTTGATCATTCAGATCATTTAAGGATTCACAATGCTGATGGTAGAATGAGTACTAATACAAGTCTTTTGAAATCTATTTATTTTGGTTTTGTAATTTCTTTTTCCACCAAAATAATCTTTTGTAATGTGCTAGTTTAACAAACTTTTGCCGTCAAGAGCCAAATATTTCAAAGGGCTTGTTGATACAGTCTGAGGTGCTTTACATGGACTCAAACAAAGAGAGGGCTGATTGTCTTAAATAGTATGTTTTCCAGTATAACGTGTGTGACGTTGAAGTAACATGACATGCAATAAAATCGCCACAGTCTGCTTCTGTGTTCTGATGTGTTCAGCTCTTACCATTTCAGATTCATATTGTAATTTATTGTTTTCATACCTGCACTACACAATCAGTTTAACACATGAATGTGAAGCATTGCTTCAGGAGTACTGTGATAGTACTTACAGCAAATGCTTTCATCATATTTTACCAAAATATCTACAATACCGTTTAAAGTTGGTCATGTTTTTGAAAGACGTTTCTTATGCTGACCTAGGCTATGTTTAATTGATTAAAAATACAGTAAAACTAATATTGTGAAAAGTTACAATTTAAAATAATATTTAACAGTAAATAATATTTTCTGTTTAAATGTATTTCCAAATGTAATTTATCCCGATTTGCTGCTCAAGAAACGGTTCAATGTTGCAATGCTTAAAATTTTTCGTGGAAACCGTGACCATTTTTTTTCAGGATTCCTTGATGAATAGAAAGTTCAAAAGAACAGCCTTTATTTTAAATATAATTTTTTGTAAACATTATCACAAGAAATGCACCAGTTTGTTTCTGATATTTGTTTTCTTTGTTGGCAAACGGCACTAAAATCCTTTGAGACAGCGTTTTGTTTCTGTACTGTACATTATGCACGGTTTGTTTTGACGGCTTGATGCTGAGAGAAGCGTAGAGAAAGAAGGAAACATGGCCGCCTCCCAGCCCAGCACTCCTTGACCTTTGCCCTTAGATTAAAAGATTGATGAGTTTTAGTGTTCCAATGATCAATGATTAATGAAGGGGAGATCACAGTATCTCTTTCTGCCTGAAGAAAATCTGAAACCATGTGTTAAAGAATTCACATTAGATTTCTTTAATATATAACTCTTTGATCAGATGGACATTTATTTAGATGTTTTTAATATTGCTTATTTTGGTCACTATATACAGATTGTATCTATAATACTGATTAATAGTTATCTATTCTAGGAACTCCATGTAACGAAATGCAACCATCTCTGGTAGCAAAACAAATATGGCTAATTGTTTGAGCATGCATATGTACTGAAAATGAAAATTGACATTGATAACATAGGCTAAGTGTCGAAAGCAAATTAATATATTATTATTTAAGCCTTTGTTTTACCATACCAACGGTTTTTGTTTTAAAACTCACAAACAAGCCAGTTTGAATCAACAATAAAACTGTTCAATTAAGAAAGAACCTGTGTGGCTCTAACAAACCATTACTTTCCTGATATATCCTACCATATTTTCTGATTTCTACGCAAGGACTTGCAACGCCCCCTAATGATTGATTTTAATCCTCTCATTAGACTTCAGACAATTGTTGAATAATTTTTACTTTTCTGAAATCCAATGGAAATATCAGAATTTAAAAATGAAAATATTACTGATCATGCACATGTGTCTAGAAGTAATATTATAATATAGTTCAGTTATAAAGTAGGTATATTTACAAACCATTAAAAAAATCCTTATCAAGATATCACAAATGACTGCAAAAGTAATGTAAAATATGGAAAAATAAGTCTAAATAGCTTTAATATTTTAAATAAGCTTTTATATTTAAAAAATTTATTATATTTAGTATGACATAGTAAGATATTTAATTCCTTCCATTATATATTTTTTTCCATTATTAGTTTTACTTTGAATAGTTGATTTATTTTATGTATTAATCAGTATATATATTATATTTAGTTGCTCATTATTATTTAAAGAGACATGCACCGAAACGGGTCGCTGTGAACAGAGCTGTTTTTGAGGCGGTAAAAAGGCTGTTGTTTTACACAACCATTGAGGAATTTTAACTAAAGTATGTTACAAACTTTTGGAAAATGGGCATCCAATGACCCCTTTAATAAACACTACTACAGTGTACCAGATTAAAGAACATCTTTGTACATATTTAAGTCTAAAAACAAATAACATCATGTCAGTGTGAGTGTGTGTGTGTGTATGTATATTCTTAATGTGTGTGATGCTGGTAACCCTGGAGTGCAGGCTTGATGGGCCCAGAAACTGCATAGGGCGCATTTCACCCAAACCTTCTTTGGCTTTGAGTTGTTAAATGGCTCCATGCAAATTACTTTATTTAAAACACTGGCAGAGACACATCTGTCAGTCTTTCTTTTCCATGCCCTAGTCATTCTTTAAAAACATTAAAATCAAGAAAATCCTTAGTTATATTCTTAGTAAGGGGGTGGTTGTAACACTTTTTAAATAAGTGTTACAACGCACCCCACCCCTGTCAGCCAATGTTTAGCTAGCCGTATTAGCATAGTGGTTTGAAATTAGCAGGGGGGAAATGCATCACATATTGCCTAAGAAACTACTATTTAATCTAATATAAGTTATACAATTTTATCTGCAATAGTACAGATACTAAACAAAATATAGTCTCTGTAATTTAGTCTATGTATTCTGCATATGCCCTGTTTCCAGTCTTGACTATCATGCTGGATCGGGGAAGAAGTAGGAAATTACTGAAATGATCATATGACTTCTATCCCTAATTGGTGGAATTGATGGTGTTACAACTCTCCCGATGTTACAACCATCCCTGGTTTCCCCTATATATAACACAGCACTGGTCAAAAAGGAAGCAAAACAATATTGTGAAATATTATTACAATCTATGCTTTTCTTGTTTAATATACTTTAAAATATAAATATGTAGAATTTTCATCAGCATCATTACTCCAGTCTGTCATGATCCGTCAGAAATCATTCTAATATGCTGATTTATTATCAACAGTTTTTGCTGCTTAATATTTATTTTAGAACCTGTGATGCAGGATTCTTTGATGAATAAAACGTTAAAAAAGAACAGCATTTACTTTAATAGAAATATTTTGTAACTATACACTACTACCGGTCAAAAGATTGGGGTCAGTAATTTTTTTTTCTGTCTTTTTTTGAAAGAAATTAATATTTGTATTCAGTGATACTTTTATATTGTTAGAAAATAATTCTATTTTTGAATAAATGCTGCTCTTTTAACTTTTTATTCATCCATGAATCCTGAAAAAGTATCACAAGTTCCAAAAAAAAGAAAAAAAAAAGATTAAGCAGCAACTGTTTCCAACATTGATAATAAATCAGCATATAAGAATGCTTTCTAAAGGACACTGAAGACTGGAGTAATGAGGCTGAAAATACAGCTTTACATTACAGAAGTAAATTATATTTTAAAAGTATATTAAAATAGAAAACCATTATTTTAAATATTAAAATATTTTATTATTAATAATATATTATTTTGATCAAATAAATGCAGGCTTGATTAGCATAAGAGATTTCTTTCAAAAATATTAAAAATAGTATGCTAATGTTTCCAAACTTTTAACCGTTAGCCTAACGTTACTATCTACTTCTGCAAAAAAAAAAAAAAAAAAAAATTGCGTTTACGCATCAAATTAACGACTTTACATTCACGATCATGCGCCAGAGCCTATGGTAGTCCGATAGCAACTATTAGTTGTAGAATTGTCTAAACATTAAAATGATAAAACTATCCGTTGTCGAACTTTTAATCTACGTCCCATCCACGTGCTAATTTGTCGCAACAAGATCCGGCTTCATACTTCCGGTTGACTGGCGCGTTGGACGTTGCTATTGGCTCTTTTCTTCACTTCCCATATAACCCTGCGTTGTCATTTCCTTTTCCCTTTCAGCCATTTTCCGCTAAAGACGGTATGTGCATTTATTCCGGCTAAACATCAAGTTTATCCGTTTTAATCCTCAGTATCTCTTTGTTGTTTAGTAATTTAAATAGTCCAACATTAAAATGTGCTTTGTTTTACATGTGTACCAGTCTGTATTGTTGGTGTTTTCTTTTCTTGAGAGAGAAAAAAGATCATTTTAGGACACGGTACCGTGTTGCAGCTCCACACTCACGTTTCAATTACTATTTGTAATGTTAAACCTCCGCTCATGAACCAGTCAACTGTTTAAATACCTAAATAAACGACTCCGCATAAGACTTCCATATGCGTGTTTACTGTCGTTTTCTCCTGAGCTGTTTTCTTTGCGCCTTCTTCCACATGTACGACACTTCGTCAGGCACTAGCTTAGCTCATATGGAGTGTCTTCGCTTGTGCGTTTGACTTTTACAATATTTGCAAGGATGTTCTAATAGCTTTCCTGAACCTGCAGTTCTTTCTAGAACCAAACGACAGCGCAAAGCTTTAATTAATCTTGGTAGAAGTAAGTTAAATGTGACCAGGGAGCTGCATGCTTATTGTTATGACATTTGTTTTGCATTAGGAGTGAACAACCATGGCTCCCAGCCGGAATGGCATGATTTTGAACCCTCACTTTCACAAAGACTGGCAGAAGAGAGTGCGCACCTGGTTCAACCAGCCCGCCAGAAAGCTCCGCAGGTAACAAGTTTGGGCTGACAAATGTCTTAATGTTTTATTATGGAAAGTGCCAGTTTATAAAAATGCTGCTTTTTCCTCAGACGTAAGGCCCGTCAGGCAAAGGCTCGGCGTATTGCTCCAAGACCAGTTTCTGGACCTCTGCGACCCATAGTCAGGTGTCCAACCATCCGGTATCACAACAAGATCCGTGCCGGACGTGGTTTCACCCTGGAGGAGTTGAAGGTAACTTTGGTGCCCAGTTGTGCTAGATCTTAAAGATTTAGTTCACCTAAAAATTAAAATTGTGTCTACTCAACCTCATGTTATTCCAAACTCATAAGCAAGCACAAATCAGGAAATATTTTAATGAAACCTCTGAGGTGTCTCTCTCTCCGTTGAAAAGTCCAGATAACCAAAACTTAAAAGGTCCTAAAGGCGTCGTAAAATTATTCTAACTGAATCGAGTGGTTTAATCCAATTCTTGTGAAGAGATGCAATAATTTTATGATAAGCAGATTTGATTTAGGCTTTGGTTTCGTTCAAACAATGATCCACACTAGAGGTCGACCGATACTGGATTTTACAGGGTCGGACATCGCTAGCTGATAACCGATTAATCAACCTATAGCTTTTAAAATGCCTATGCTTTTATACAAAAGTAAAACGCACACACAATAAAAACATTACTTAACCATGCAAGTTTACTGTACTTTACAAATATTTTTATTAATTATACCTTGATCATTCATGTAAGTTCATATTGCATTAACTTTAAGAGATGCAACTTTAAAATGTTTTAGTAAATGTTGAAATTAACAAACTGAAAAATGTTAACCTTAATTTTACAAATGGACTCTAATTGTAAAGCGTTACCATTTCATTTAAATTCAAACAGTCATGCTTACAGATGCTTACCTTTAAATATCAACACAAAGGACAGAACATTGAAATTACACATGTATATTAAATGTATACTCACTTAATTTGCCTTTATTACAGAACACTTGATTATCTAATCAAAATAAGTATGTATTATTTTTTAATATTTTCATTTTGAAATTCTCTGATATTTCCATTGGATTTCAGAAAAGTAACCATGTTGTTTCTATCGGCTGCATAAATGTATCAATTTGCTTTCTCACGTCACTAGCTTTAAATATGCAATTTTGCTGCATAACGACTATAAAAGTGACCAGCTGGATATAAACTAATGCAATAGGTGGCAACAATCGTGACATTAAACATTTGGGTCAGACTTGCGTGTGTTTGTCACATTATTTTAACTGCTTAAGGTACTAATGTTAGCGTTCTCTCCGCGTCGATGGCAAACGCACTGCTATTTCTCTACTAATGCAGCATCTAGTCAACTCATGTACTGTATTGTATACATACCAATTCATTGTCTGTTTTAAGTCTGCATCTGAAGTGTGCTGCTCTGTGTAGCGCACAGCCTCATGTGTCAAAACAAACACCACAAGATGGCAGTGATTTCGCCTCTAGAGGCCGCTCTAGTACTGGACCCTTCTCAGCCACTCCAGCATTGGACGCAAAAACTGCATGAGAAATTAATCTGCAAAACTGATCAATCCTTCGACATCTAATCCACACGCATACATAGATGGTAAATATGTACGATGTTTTTGGGTGAACTATCTCTTCAACTGTTATGTAGTTCTATCTGTCTGCTTGTTCATAAAGTGCACTTGCAGTCATTTCAGACAGTCAAATGATGACAATTCTCCGGAATCGCTGTACTTCCTTGATGATCCACGAACCCTTTTCGCTGATGACTGTTCTTGACTCTGTTTGAGTATCAGGGCTGTTCCAGCATTATCACGTCTCACATGTCTGTTACACCGTAATCTGCCCATACAGGCAGCAGGAATCAACAAAAAGGTGGCCCGCACCATTGGCATCGCCGTTGACCCTCGCCGGCGTAACCGATCCACAGAGTCTCTGCAGTCCAACGTTCAGAGGCTGAAGGTGTACCGCTCCAAACTCATCATCTTCCCGAGGAAGGCTTCTGCACCCAAGAAGGGAGACAGCACTGTAAGTGGCTTACTTCAGTTCATTTAGTTTTACTGTCATAGAGAAGCGCTTCAGTGTTTGCAGTCAAGTGATGACACTTTCTCCGGAATCTCTGCACATCCTTGATGACTTTTGAACCCTTTTTTAGCTGATGACTGCATACTATTCAACTATAATTCTCCTTTTTGTTTTTTTTTGTTGGTCTTTTGACTGTTTGCTGCTTTTTTGTGTGTAGGAGGAGGAGATTAAGATGGCCACACAGCTCACTGGACCTGTCATGCCCATCAAAAACGTACGTATCTTTTAACCATATAAAGTCTACTGTACGATTCTTTTTTTTAAAGTCCTGGTGCATATATTGAATCCGAAATCTTTATTTATTTTAAGTAAAATGTCAATATTAACAACAAGAGACTTTAGAAAAATATGATCTGTTTAGTGTTGTCACAATACTGTAATTTCTAACTGTAATACCTAACTCTAACCCATGCTTAATTATTCGATTGCATTTGATACCACAGGGAAAAACTGCCATGGACTTTTTTCATCCATTAAGATTCTAGGGGAATACATTTTTTCAAGCTTCAAAAAGTACTTGACGCATAATAGTAATATCAATCGAGCGGTTTAATCCTAGTCTTCTGAAGAGCCACGATCACTTCAAATGGCAAACAGATTTTAATTTAGGGTTTTATTCATAAACATTGAGCAAACATTTAGGCGAGATCATTTTAATGGTAATTGGTCACCTGTTATGTTTTCAATTTTGTTGCAATGGATTACACAGCACAAGGGCACTCAAATAAACAAATTACCTTATATCTGTGCCATTGTTGTGTCTCAAGATGCACACCAGTAATTTTTTCTTTAAGGCAAGTTAATTAAATTTATTTAAATGCCCTAAGACCTAATCTTGGCTTAATCTAAGCCCTATCTGTGAAACCATGCCTATAAGTAGCAGCACAAATACAATAGAATAAAGATACAAATGAAATGAACAGTTTGCTGAAATTCAGGCCCTGTGACCCCAACACTATTCTGCCGAAGCGTATAAGAAAAGTGAGTGAAAGGAGGAGGGTGTGTGTTGGGAGTGAAGGGAGCGAGAAAGAGCAGCAGGTATTGTGTATCGATACTGCGGGAAATAAGTATTGGAACAGTTTCAGATATTTCAGTATTGTATTTGACAACACTAGATCCATTAGGCTTTTGTGGAACGCTTATTTGTTCATCTCTCAATCATTATCGTTGCATTATGTTTTGCCCCCCACAATAAAAACTACATCTACAACTAAGCATTTAAATATCTTCCAATCCTGCTCCTGGAAAGCCAACGTCCTGCAGATTTTAGCTCCAACACTTGCCTGGACGTTTCTATTGAGTCTTTGTAGACCCTGATTAGCTGGGTTCAGGTGTGTAATAAGGGTTGGACTTGAACTCTGCAGGACAGTGACCCTCCAGGAGCAGGATTTGACACCTCTGTAGCAAGACATATTATTGGGAGATATAGAGTGGTTACTGGTTTTGTTTATTTGATCAAAGTAGTCTGCTATACTCGTATAAATATCTCATTGTTTTGCAAGCTATCAATATTTTCTTCTTGGCTGTATAAATATCAGCAACTTTACCAAATTGCATTCCTTGAATGACTTTTTTTCTGTATGTGCTCCATATTCTCCTATATTTATACTATGTGATCCATAAAAGCATCACGTATGATACTCAATAAAAATTATACAAAAAAAAATCTTCTCAATATCTTGACTTGAAGGCTTTGTTCCATTTTCTAAACATTAGATTTTTCTGGCTGTTTCATATGTCAGTTTACTGGCTAAAGAATCAGCGAGTAATGTGTGGAAATTGGATTTTCTTTCCTTTGTTTTTTTTTATAATGTTATAGTTCTTCATATATAATGTAGTGTTTTGCCACAACTGAGGAAGTGTCGTTGTTTTCTGCAGTTTTTCCCGAAAGAGAAGGCCCGCGTGATCTCCGAGGAGGAGAAGAACTTCCAGGCCTTCGTCAGCCTGCGTATGGCCCGTGCCAATGCCCGTCTGTTCGGCATCCGTGCCAAGAGGGCAAAGGAGGCCGCCGAGCAGGACGTCGAAAAGAAGAAATAAACGTTGATTTGTAAGGAACTGTCAAAATAAATGTCTAAAAAATCTTTTGTCTTTGGAGTCATTTCTTGGAAACCTTTATATAATGTAGACGTCTGGTTTGTGGAGGATGTTTAAGTGCCTTCCCAGCATTGCTCAAGTCATTGGTTTAATTGCTACTGAACAGACTCTGATAAAATGTACAAACTGAATCTATCACAAAAGTATCTTCCAAATACAGTAGTGGCCAAAAGTAATGTCTGGGGGGGGGGGGTATTTCTGACCTTACAAGTTTGATTAAACAATCAAAATGAGAAATATGTTTTTATACATATGAGGGGAAAAATTAAACTTGGGTAAAATTGTCCGCATGTGTCATTACATCACAAATACGTGACTTCAAGTACAACTAAGTAATATGATTGACCGAACAACATTTTTGGCAAGTGCTGTATAAACTGAGGTGAGTGAGAATGCTACTAGTTCTCCAGGAGATGGCAGTGTTTACCTACCTTTGCTCTGAAGTTTTTTGTGGTTTGTTAATGGCATAGTTCAGCGATAACTTTATCTAGAGAAATCTGATAGGTGCTGTCTTGTTTTAAGCTGCTATAAATATGAACGGTGCACATACATACCAGAGGTTGCACTCTTCCAGTGGTCATTAGACAGATCAGAGTCAGGACAGTGTATTATGTTCACAGGCCTGTGCTAGTGAGACTATCATGCACCCAAAAATGTTTAATTTTTTGTCATTTACTCACCCTTGTGACATTCCATATCTCTGCATTTCTTCAGCAGAACACTGATGTTTTGAAGACTGTTGGGAACCAAGCAACATTGGAGACCATTGGTTTCATTGTATGGATGGAAAAAACAGACATTTCTTACATAATATATTGTTCCACAGAACAGACCTGAGGGTGTGAAAATGACAGAATTTGCATTTTGGGGTTAACTATGCCTTTAAGGATTTGTCATAGCTGCTGGATTTGCATATTGTGTTTGTAACCTGAGGTGAAGCCTTGATTAACATCTGTCAGCACAGTTTAAGTGTGGAATTTGTCTTCATGATGGAAATACAAATCAGTTACCTGGTGTTTTAATTCATGTTTAGAAATGCCAGCATACTCTGTCCTGGAGTGATGTCATGGTGTCCAGTGGAGGTTTTTGGTGGATGAATGGGCTGTGGGTGTATTATGCAAACATTGCATTCCCACATCATATCTATATGTGGTGTGTGAGTTGTATCTTTACTCGGTTCCTGCCAGGACTGTGTTTTGGTGCTATCTTTATTTGTATTGCGTAACCTCTGTTTTATCAACTTGTTTCTCTGAGGCTTTTGCACTCGGAAGCTTTAGTGACTGTTTTAGTGAGGAAACGATAATAATTGGGTAATGGTTCATTATGTCCCAGTAGTGCTGCTGAACTGAAACTGAAGGTGAAGTGGTCTAAATCAATTATAAGGGAAGTAAAGGGACTGTTATAACTGGGACTGTCCACAATCAATGAACCATTGGGATTTTTCTATGAAACCCTACATTTCACGGATCAATAAACCAAAAATATCTTGACCTGCAGGAGAGATGAGTGGGGAGATAATCACGTATGAGGTTACATAAGAAATGGAGAATGTGTCCTGTAGTTACCCTTGATTTCTGAATCAGTGGTGGAAAGACTTGATTTAGACCACTCATTCAAATACTGGAGAATGGTAGCAACAATAAACATTAAATAGTCCATTCTTAGGACAAATGGTTCTGAAAACAGTATAGCCTATTATGGTGGTTCGACTAACTCAAAAGGACAAATATATGATCTAAGAACGTTTTGCTAACGTTTCCGTTAAGTTATGAAAACCTTATTTCTAAATGCTGAAAATTCAAAATGTCCAGTTAAAAAAAAACGAAACACGTTTTTCTTAGTTTTGCGAACGAAACATTCAATTTTCAACATTCAATTTTCTTCAAGCATTATGGGAATGTTACTTTGAATGTTCTCTGTAGCTACAATCTGAAACAGTAACATTAAAAAAATTGTTAGACGAACGTCAAACTAAAACATTGCAGAAAAAGACGATCCATGATGTAGCCTATAGGCCTAAATAAAGTTTTTTTTTTTTTCTGGTAATGTTTTAAGAATATTTAATAGGCTACAACAACTTTGTACAAACATTTTGTTTTTGGAAGAACTTTTGTTCATAACTTTGAGAGAACCTTGACGGAACGTTAGCTCTGAGAGAACGTTAACTGCGCAAGTAGAACTCAATAAAATTCCATAAAGAACAAATGCGTTGAAAGTGCTACATAGAACCTTAAAGGGATAGTTCACCCTAAAATAAAAATTAAGTCATCATTTACTCAGCCTGGCGACACGTGCTGTATATTTTAAATGTTCTGGGGTATACCGTATACGGTAGGGTTTGGTGAAAAACAAACCGAAATTGAACGTATTAACAAAAATCCTGATCATGGCTGTATAGGCGTACTAGCGTTCGTGAGACTAGCGCCCCATTTCACTCTCCTTGGCTTTTAGCTGTGTATACGCTACATTTAATGATAATTGACATTGAACACAAAGAAATAGCTACACGAAATAGAAACCAAATGAATGTAATGTAATTTATAAACAAGCACTTTCTATTTTTATATCATGGGAACTTATCCTCGATACTATTCCTTATAAAAAACAATCGGATTGCTTTGATATCGCTACTTAGACCCAACTTTGCGAATCTCGGCTACTAGCCTTTAGTCCGCTAGCATTTCACGCGTGGCCTCGCGCCTATTGACCGTCTGATTTTACACCCGTTTCACTGAAAGGATACAGGTTATATCCGGCATTTCAGTCCTAAATTACTAGTGATATTGGTAGTATCACTACTAATCTACTGTTCATCTGTTATGGCGAACATATCAGATGTGTGTCTAACGTTACCTCTGAGTGCAGGTGAGGACACATTCGAACTGATTTCGGTACGATTGGAACTGGAATCGGTGGAGAAACAGATCCGTGGTCTGCTAGAGAGGCAAGCCGAGCTGCGGGATCGGCGATCAGCGCTTGAAACTTCACGCGCCGATGCACACAAGTCAGTGGTTAGTAACTTTTTGACTCCGACTTCGTCTACTCCGTGCGTTTCTCTGCCCAGGAGGACGCGATCATCTCTGGCATCATTCACTCCGGCACCAACCCAACACCATGGACCCTGGGTGATCCCACAGCGGAAGACACGAGCCAGGACCAGAGCAAGAACCTCTCCGCCCCTCCCGGTCTTCGAGATCTCCACCCGGAACCGCTTCTCCCCTCTTCGCGAGTCAGAACGCGACGGCGCCGTGATCATCGGCACTTCCATGGTCCGTCATGTCCGCGCTACCTCAGGTAAGGGTAAGGTGCGCACTCACTGCCTTCCTGGTGCTCGTGTTCTTGATGTCGCCGCACAGGTTCCCGAGATCCTGAACGGTGAAGAGCACGTCGGAGCTGTGGTGCTTCACGCTGGAACAAACGATATCAGGCTGCGGGAGACGGAGGTTCTGAAGAAGGACTACAGGAGCCTGATCGAGACGGTACGCAGCACGGCGCCTGAGGCAACGACCATCATGTCTGGACCGCTTCCCACGTACCGACAAGGACAGGAAAGGTTCAGTAGATTATTTGCACTAAATGAATGGTTAATGTCATTGTGTAATGAACAAAAACTGCTCTTTGTAAATAATTGGAATCTGTTCTGGGAGCGACCTAGGCTCTACCGTGCTGATGGCCTGCACCCCAGCAGAATCGGAGCGGCTGTTCTGTCAGACAACATCTCCAATACGTTACACACCGTATGACTAGAAAATCAAATTCCAAATAGCAGTCTTTGCTGTGCCAATTTAATTGATATAAGTAGTGTAGAACATTATATAGAAACTGTGTCTATTCCTCGTTTAGTGAGGCCAAATAATAAATCCACTGTAGGATCTAGAAAAAATCTTATTGTAATTAAACCTGAAAATCTAAATATCAGTGAACAAAAACAATTTCTAAAACTAGGTCTTCTAAACATTAGATCGCTCACACCTAAGGCGGTTATTGTAAATGAAATGGTCACAGATAATAGCTTCGATGTACTTTGCCTTACTGAAACCTGGCTTAAACCAAACGAGTATTTCGGTCTAAATGAGTCTACCCCGCCAGGATACTGTTATAAACATGAGCCCCGTCTGATCGGTCGTGGCGGCGGTGTTGCAACAATCTATAGAGATATTATTAATGTTACTCAGAAAACAGGTCACAGGTTTAACTCGTTTGAAGTACTTGTCCTAAACGTTACGCTCTTAGATGTAAGAAAGAAATCCCTATTATCTCTAGCCTTGGCTACTGTATATAGACCTCCAGGGCCATATGCTGATTTCCTAAAAGAGTTTGCAGACTTTCTCTCAGATCTATTGGTCAATGCCGATAAAGCAATAATTGTTGGAGATTTTAACATACACGTAGATAACACAAACGATGCGTTAGGGACTGCGTTTACAGATTTATTAAACTCCTTTGGGGTCAAGCAGAATGTCAGTGGTCCCACTCATCGTCTAAATCATACACTAGATTTAATTATATCATATGGAACCAATCTAACCGATATAGATATTATACCGCAAAGTGACGATCTCACCGATCATCACATGGTAACTTGTATAATACGCACTGCTGAAATTTGTCATGTTGCGCCACGTTATAGACCAGGCAGAACAATCCTTCCAATCACTATAGATAGATTCTCAAATAGCTTACCTGATCTATCTCAGCTGCTCAGAGAACCCAAACAAACAGATGAACTAGAGGAAATGACTAGCAGTTTGAGCACCATTTTCTCTAGTACATTAGATATTGTTGCACCAATTAGATCAAAAAAGGTTAGAGAGAAAACTAAAGCACCATGGTACAACAGTGCTACGCATGCTATCAAGAGAGAAACTCGTAACCTAGAGCGTAAATGGAAACAAACTAATTTAGAGGTCTTTAGAATTGCGTGGAAAAACAGTATGTCACGTTATAAAAAGGCTCTAAAAGCAGCCAGGGCTGAGCATCTCCGCAA